TAAACAATAAATTCTTCTATATTTTAGCCAAATTGAAAATTCACCTTGATTGTTGACATTTCATCACCTTAGTGCAGTTACTGGTTATCTCCATATCATTTAATACTGACATGATGATTTAACTACTTAATATTTGTGTAGTGTTTGATTTTTGAAGATGTATTTTACTCATCTGGAGATGTGCCGTTTATAGAAGAAGTATTTAGAATATATTTTTTTAAAAAAAGAACAAAATCTAAGAATGAAAACTGTTTTCATGATGATTGGCCATTTTGATCGAGTTATCATTTTTTATATCTATTTTTCTTTTTTTACAATTTAAGAAAAAAAAACAACTTTACAATTTATTTTAATGCTGACATGTAACAGCATTAAAATGTACTATAGCTGAAGGAACAAAAAGTATTCTAGTTTTTTCAAAACCATCATTTATTACAATAGTTAAGTTTTTAAATTTGTTTACCCTTTTTTATCACCTTGGTTACAGCTGAAATATCAAGTTTTATTATACTTCATTTTTATCACCATTTACATGAAAAACTATATCACTTTGTTGTTTGTTTATTTATTTACTTTTTTTACTCTTACCAAATTTGTAAACAAGGTTTAAACAGAGCCATGTAATATGGAGAGATATTAAAACTGCATTCTCACAGTGTTTGATTATCAACAGGTTAAGTTTAGTTTTTAATTTCAGACAACACAAAAATATGATTGTATTTATTCTTTAGTTTAAACATTCATCATTTAAACTTCTTAAGAAAGTTTTATATGATTTGATCCACTATCATGTCTACTTCTTATAATTAACCAGTTTTATTATTACAGGAGTAAACATATAAATGGCCTAAAAAGTTCTGAATTCATTATTGCTATGTTAAGAGGAAGTCATGTTAACCAGTATGTCTTCACTCTTCTTAATCTTACTCTTAATGTACTTTTCTAGAAATCAATTTTCTTATTACAATCATAACTAAGTAAATGAGATTAATTTATCAGAGTACCACATTTTATCACCTCATTACATATTATTTTCAGCACCATTTTTGTATTATATTTCATAGATTGTGATCAATTTATAATATACCTGAAAATCGAACAAAACAGTTTTTTTTGTGTTGTTTTTTTATTATTTTTTTTTTTAAATCTATAGTCTGGGTTTAGTTCATAAGTTCATAATACATAGGTTGTGATGTAGTATTTCTGTCACTTTAACGTCATAGATTTATTGGGCTCAAACAAGGTTTATATAACAAACATTTTGTGACATACATTTTTATTTTCAATATATAGATAAGGTTTTTGTAAGTTTTTCAAATTCTATACAATTTTGTTGTGATGATATAGTGTTGTGAAATTTTATATTTATTTTTAGACCTACATGTATTGTATTAACCAAAAATGACTTCCACGGGTGAAATGATTTAAATTTTTAGGATTTTACTCAAGTTACTATGTTAATTTTGTTGTGACTGATAATGTATCTTCCAGTTAAAGATTTTCAAAGATGTCAATTGAAATCATAGTGCTCTACATTAAAATTTTAAGGTGGCTTGAAAAATAAGAGAAATGTTTTAAAAAGTAAATGTTAAGTAATATACCTGAATGAAAATGAAAAATAAATCACCAGATATGTTCCTAAGAATCTTATTTTGTTGCTTTTAAAGACATTATTAATATATTCATTTCTGAAAGGATTTAATTTATTGGTTTTTACTAGTAATTAAAAATCAGGAACAAAAAAGAATATGAGCAAGTATTTTTTTATACAAATTTCCTGTTTAGATTATACAGTTTCTATGAGCAACCAATCATTTTAAGTATAGATTTTATCATATTTTCACACATTTATCATTTGTACAATCATATATCATAGTGTTTGAATTTGTATTAGCACAAAGTGTATTGCTGTAGTTTAAAGTGTTGAGCACTTACTGTGAAATAAAACAGTGACAACTTTGTTTCCTTGTTTGTTTTGTTCTTCTGTTTTATAGCTCACCTGAGCTATCTCAGGATGAGCTTTTAGGATTGTTGAATGTCCGTTGTCCGTCCATATTTGCATGTTAACACTATAGCTGTCACATTTTTGCCTAAATAATCATTAAAGTTTGTCAGGATGCTTGTCTACATGTAGGTTATTGCTCGTATGAGTTCGAACATTGGTTATCTGGGATGAAAAACTAGGTCACAGGAGCTAAAAATAGAAAACTCTTGTTAACACTCTAGTGGCTACCATTTTGATCCAAATATCCTGGAAATTGGTCTGAAAGTTGTTTTGATGATTTCTAGGTCAAGTTCGAATATGGGTCACCGAGGGTCAAAAACTGGGTCACACCTCCCAAATATGGAAACCTTGTTAACACTCTAGTGGTCACAATTTTGACTCTATCGTCATCAAACTTTGTCAGGGTGTTTGTCTAGGTAATTGCTCAATAAGTTCGAACATTGGTCATTTCAAATGAAAAACTAAGTCACAGGAGCTAAAAATAGAGAAGAAAATTGGTCTGAAAGGTTGTTTTGATGATTTCTAGGTCAAGTTCAAATGTGGGTCATTTGTGGTCAAAAACTAGGTCACACCGTCCAAATATGGAGAAAACATTGTTAACACTAATGGTCACATTTTTGACTCAATTGTCATCAAACTTTGTAAGGATACTTGTCTAAGTAATTGCTCGGATGAGTTCAATTGGTCAGGTGAGCAATCTAGGGCCATCTTGGCCCTCTTTATTATGGTTGACTTTAAAATTGTTTCCATGCAGAACTATGGTTGCCATGGCAACCAAAAGAAAAATCTTAAAAAATCTTTTTAAAAAAAACCCCAAGATATTATGCATGAAAAATGGGTGTCTACCAAGCTTGTATAAATTAAAGTCCTGGGGTCAAATTGGCCCCGCCCTAGCGGGGCAGGGGTATTGATGTTTTTTATATGTATATTGTTATCTTCTTAAAAAAAGCCCAAAGAGCTAAGATATTACCCAAGAAACACTTTCTAGTGTGTCGACCAAGTTTTTTATTTAAATAAAAGCCCTGGGGTCAAAAATGGCCCCATCCCAGGGGATCATTGATTTTTAGCTCACCTGTCACAAAGTGACAGGGTGAGCTTTTGTGATTGCTTTTCGTCCGGCGTCCGGCCGTCGCCTGTAAACTTTTACTTTAACTGACATCTCCTCATAAACCACTAAGCCAATTTCAGCCAAACTTCACAAGAATGTTCCTTTGGTAGTCACCTTTAAAAATTGTTAAAAGCAGAACTCTGGTTGCCATGGCAACCGAAAGAAAAAACTTAAAATATCTTCTTTTAAAAAACCCAAAGAGCTAGAGCTTAGATATTTGGCATGAAACATCTTCTAGCGAGTGTCTACCAAGTTTGTTCAAATAAAAGCCCTGGGGTCAAAATTGGCAGGGCCCCCGGGGGTCATAGATTTTCCTTATATGTGTTTAGAAAAAACTTAAAAAATCTTTTTGAAAAAACCCAAATAGCTAGAGTTTAGATATTAAGCATGAAACATCTTCTAGTGAGTGTCTACAAAGTTTGTTCATATAAAAGCCCTGGGGTCAAAATTGGCCCCGCTCCGGGGGTCATTGATTTTCCTTATATGTGTATAGCAAAAACTTCTTTGAAAAAACCGAAATAGCTTGAGTTTAGATAATAAGCATGAAACATCTTCTAGTAAGTGTCTACAAAGTTTGTTCAAAGAAAAGCCCTGGGGTCAAACTGGCCCCGCCCCAGGGGTGTCATGGTCTTTAACTATATGTGTATAGTAAAAACTTAAAAAAATCTTCTTTTAAAAAACCCAATGAGCTAGAGCTAAGATGTTAAGCATGAAACATCTTGTTATGGGTGTCTACCAAGTTTGTTCAAATAAAAGCCCTTGGGTTAAAATAGGCCCTTCCCGGGGGGGGGGGGGGGGGGGGGGGGGGCAGTTCATTATATGTGTGTAGTAAAAACTTAACATCATAAAACATCTTCTAATGGGTGTCTTCCAAGCTTGTTCAAATAAAAGCCCTGGTGTTTAAACTGGCCCCCCTCCGGGGCCTATATACAGGTGAGCAACTTCAGTGCCATCATGGCCCTCTTGTTCTTTTATGTACACATCTTTTGAAACTGTCGTCATTTCATAACAATTCTTTTTCAATTTTAAGTCATTTTTCACAATCAAAATAATCATTTCTGAAAACTGAAGTGAGTGAATGATCTGAAATTTTGCACAAAAGTTATGTCTAGACTTACATCAAATGGAACATTAATCTCAAAAAATTATTCCCAGGCCCGTCACATCAAAAAACCTCAGTGGAGTCCCTTTAAGATTTAACTTTATATCTGCTTTTGTTTACAATATTACTTGTTCCTTGTCATGTAGAGTTTTTATATTCAGGTGAGCAATTTCAGGGCCATGATAGCCCTCTTTTGTCACACATTTTTTGTCGATCCGACTGATCATCTTTCCTAGATAAATGACCAATATGTCTTTTGAAAGTGACTAACTATTAGTCCCACATGATTTCCAAATCAGGGATAAGAGACAAATGATCAATATAGAAGATCAGTTGTCATGGAGATATTTCACCTGGTACAGCGCCCCCTGCATTACTATTTCAGTGATCTGCCCATATTTTCATTACAAATCATTAGCATATGTACTAGCTCATAAGATATTCACTTCAAGTAATTGCTTTTATCTTTACTAATCATTGAAAATAGAAGTGGGCTTTCTCAGCTTTATTTAGTGTTGAGAATTGAGTACCGCTCAAGCTGGTGCTAGGGGGGCGTGAGGGATGTCGCAAATTTTTTACATTATCCCTCATGTACAGACTCGATCAAACTGAGTCTGCAATTTTCATGTAATTTTGTTGTGATTAATGCTTCCGAGGGATCACTTTGTTTCCAGATTTTTTAAAGTTCACCTGGTACCGGCACTGGTATAAACAATAATATCATCATGGCTCTCCTGTTGGCTTGTATCATCATTTGTATCAGGAAAGCAGAGAAAACAACAGTAATCAATAAATATTTTATTACAAAAACCAACAATGCATATTCTACAAAAGTGGTTACTAAATTGCCATCTAACTACCTAATATACATTGCTCTACAAAATAACATCATAAATTTGTATTAAAACAAACAACAGACATTTACCACTTAATATGTGAAAGCAAATATAACAAAGTGTTAAATAAATCTCTGTTGCTGCAATCTATTTAACATTTCAGCTCTTAATATTAATGAATTATTCATTTAATGGTAAATGCAGGTCAGAATACAAGCCAGAGACGTTACCCTTACATCAAAATAACCTTGAACATGAAGTAACGTTATCAAGACAAAGAAATATATATAAATTAATGTCAACTATTCTGATAAAGTTAATCTGATTTTAATTCAACAACTTGAACAGGTTAATTTATTCTATAAAAATATTCAGATAACAAAATATTTGCTTCAGGTGATTAGCAAAGTCATAAATGAAAAATAAAATTAAATTTGCCTAAATATTTTATATCTTGAGGCATGATTATTATGCAACATTAACGTGACATGCCGTTTACAACATTTACTTATATACATGTAACATAAAGATATCTAAATTAGACAAACACATGTTTATTGTTATCTATAAAAATAACTAAAAACAATAATTTGAAAAAAAAGAAAAATATTGTAGCACTATGATTACAGAAATAATGAACAAAACATTAGCAATAAACAGTTGATATAAGTAAAACTTTTATCATGGTTTCTACAGCTATTACATGGGCAAACAAGCTGCACAATTCTGTTTCTGTATTTATACAAGTATCCTGTTTATCATTTAATAAGTCTTTCATTTCTATGAATAGTAAAACATACCAAAATTTTGTAATTACCTGAAACAAATTCAATTTGAAAGTACAAACATAAATCATGTTTCATTATAAAGATGTTAAATCTAGTTTTATTGTGTGCTATGTGATATATACAGTGTATTTATATAAAGAGGTAGAAATTGTTCAATATTTTATCATTGTTTACAATTAAAATTTTAACAGACTATTAAAACCTTTCAAATGCCACCACACAATTTTTTTCATAAGACTTAATTTTTTTTCCAAAAAAAAAAAGGAGGGCTTTTTAACAATTTTTTCATCATTTACAAATGTCTATTTATAGCTTTTACTGTGACATTCAAATTATTTATTTTACTTATTGTAAACATCTCAATTCTGAAACAAAAATACAATACTGATTCAACCTACCTGAATTTATATAATAAGATTGCTTTATACCCGAATTATTTCATTCAATAAAAGTACACAAATTTCTCTGTTCTTAATGTGCTACAACATCTATTGTATTGTTCTACAATTGGGCAGTCTTTGAGTGTATGAAACCAGTTGTTAGGTTTTCAGTGCCACAGGCATATTGTGGTGACTGAGATAGCTTGAATTTGTTAATGCATTTACAGATTCATACTGTATATGTGAACTGGACTGCATATGTAAACCGAGTGTGTTCTTCCCCCTGCGTAACCTTGTAAGTATAACTTTCAGCTCAGGACATTATTGAGGAGAAAAAATAAGTAAGAGCAGCAAAAACAATTATTCAAACGGTTTAAGATTTGGAAATTTGGCTGTATTCAGGAACCCTAATCTCAAGTTCTGAGAGGGTAACAAGTCAGTTAAAAATAATGACAGAAAATCAACACAATTTTATTAAACATACTTTTCTAAATCATTGACTTATTATCTTTCCTGATGTCTTTCACCGGTTAGAGAAAAAAAAACTTCACAAATTATAGAAAATTATTAATCTACATCAAAACACAAATACCTTCACACATAAATGAGATCCTATTTTTAATTCACACTTTTATATTAATGTTCTTTTTTTATTTCCCTTCTGTTACATAAAAAGAGTAAAAATATCAAACATCAACATCACCAACAAAAAAATAACACTGCAACCTGGGACATACAATAACGATCATACTTTGTCCCAGCTGCAACAAATCAATTTGGTGGTGGTCATATGTTCTTAGAGTTAGAGATGTAAATGACTGACCTAAATATTAGTATAGGAAATCATTAAAAACATTAAAACCATGAAGAATATCACATCTTATAGGGCAGATTTAAGTACAATCCTGAAATAAAATCATCTTGTTTAAACCAAAGAAATATTGAAGCCATTAAAGTATTTTACGACTGTTTCAGATATAAATTTAATATTTATAGTACAAGGGAAACAACTCATGCTGTCCTATTGCTGAATTGTTAATAAATGTTCATACATAATTAGCAAAATTTGTGATAGTTTACAATCCCTGACAGTTCTATCAACACAGTCCATTAATAAAATTGCTATTATCAACTTGTTACAAAATGTTAAACGTTCTTCTTTATACAACAATCAATTACAACAATCATAAGTTAACAATCAGCATATTTCCTTAGATGAAACAGTATATTACTGATGAATATATACATGTAATTATACTGGTTTTCCTGATTTAACTCTTTCCTGAAAAGAAAATCAGCATCAAAAAGAGGCTTTGGCAAATTTAATCTTTGTTTCATATAAATGTTAATTACACACATGATAGGTTCACTGCTAAAAGTAATCTAATTCAAATTGCTTTCAATATATTCTTTCTTATTTTGCAGCTAAGTAATGTTTAAATTCTATCATATTTTTGTAACTAGCGACTAAGTTAGGCAAGAATAAAATGCAATTTCCTATCAATACAGTAGTATGAGTATTTTCTACAAATTACAACATGATTAAAATATAATATCATCCAACAAATGACTAAATATTTCATTAAAGACCTTATTGCCATACACACATCCTTACCAAATTCATAACACACACACAACAAAAAAAAAACATGTATAATCATGACGGTAAATAAGGAAACAACCAAACCATAAAAAAATGAACAACAAAACCGTAAAATTGAGCAAAAAAAAACCAAAAACCTAACAATTAACATGGCCCTTGACATTAAAACAGACAAGACTACAAAGTTTTAATATGCAGATATGTTTAAGATATTTTAAATGCCCAGTAAGTGGTTTCAAATTAATAATTTACAAAAATCTGTTTTATATAGACAAAAAATAAAAATTTCATATTACAGTCTTATTTATACATTATATGTACCTGGAAAATTCAACAGCAGTAGCTTTTAATATTGATTCTGTTATTTATTTTTCAGAAAAGTAATGTACTCTTAAATTGATTCTTATAAATAAGAACTCAACTAATTTGTTAGAAAGAACTTCTTTCTACATCACAGATATATGATAGATATATTAATCTTTACCTACTGAAATTTATATATAGATTTGTCCAGCATCTATTTTTTTGATTTGTTGTCCATTACCAATTTCTATTTATCTCACAATGGCTAACAATAATTTCAAATTTCACATCCCCTTGTAGAGAAGAAAACATGTAAAGGATATTGTGCCAATTTAAAAAAAATCGAATCAAAGCATCAAGCTGTAGGGCTGCACACAAAAACTGGCTAGCCTGACTCTATACTGTTGGCAATGGTTAATCACTTTCAGTTTCAGCTGGTTAAGGGTTTATCTATTATCACGTGCATTGATTAGTAAAGGGCATGTTTATATCTGACTGGTATTTCATGTATATATTTATTGTATACTTAATTATACATGTAAGACAATTTGTACCTGTACAAGTAAAAATAAGTATCTGTTCTGTTCTGTTTTGTTTTTTGTGTTTATATGCTATTTGTATTTCCCTCTTTTAAATCATGTGCATAAATGTTATAAGTTTGATGAATTGCTGCATAAATCGACAAAAAATAAAGACAAAATGAATCTTCTACACCACTAATTTACAGCAGTACTTTCACACTTATTGCTTTCAATGGCAGTACATTTACATAGGGTTTATAACTGATCAAAATTCATTAACATCTTAAAAAACATTGTCTAAACTACATTCTACAGTTAATTCGAAAATCTCTACTTACACAATTCGTACAACAGCATTTAAAGAATATATGCATTAAGCAGATGGAAAATACAATCAAAGGTAACAAATTCTTTAACATCTCTTGTATAAATATCTATAAGAAATTTTAACCTATCAGGAATATTTTCCCAACAAAAAAAGTAATCTTCCAAAGCTGTGACGATTCCACATTTAAAATCAATTTTGATCATTTGATCATCACACTTGGTAGATATGGGGACTAACTCACAAAGGGAACTAACTCTCAATAGTACAGTTTACTATCAGTATACTCTACAAGCTCTGAGATTTCTGCCGATGATAGTTTTACTGCTTTAATTATCCAGTGATTTACTCGAGTTCCACAAGAACATCTCCCTCATCAACTGTTTGACCTGTTTTAAAACTCACTTTCTTTACCTGAAATATTGTTAAACATTACACATTAATATCAAAGGAACTTTAGAAAATTGCGTAAACTTACAACTCCTGGGCCTGATAATGTTTATCATACTTGTAATGTTTTTTTAAAAATAGCAAGAGTGATCTCCCTTACTTTGTCATGTTAGAATCAAAATAATATCAGTCTAAGTTGAGTTTATCGGCTATTTAATATCTTGTTTTGAACAAAAAATTAACATAGAAAAATCACTCTGAAATAAATATAAGATTACCTTGCCAGTTTTAGCTGCCACTAAACTATTCTGCATCTTCATAGCTTCCAGGACAGCCACTTCCTGCCCTTCTGAAACACTGTCTCCTTCACTAACAGATACAGATTTCAACATCCCTGGCATAGGTGCTAGAACAACAGTTGATAGATCTACTTCCACTGTCTGTGGCATTAAGTCATGTAATTCAGCAGTAACCTGATCCATTATATGCACTGGGAACTAAAATAGAAACACTTATATAAATACTGACAATCAATGTTAATATAAAATCAATTTAGCTTTGTTTTGTAACTAAGTCACATCAGCACTATTTTTTTTTTAATGTCAAATGGTGAGATTGTAATTTGGACTGGTGTATTAATTCAGATATTGTTGTTCAATAATTTATGTTGGAAAGTACTGGAGGCTGGTTAGAAAACACTGAATACATTAGAAATTTTTGGTAAGAACAATATAACTTTTTATTACATGCTTTTCGGTGGTTTATAGAAATATATCAGTGATATAAATCTGGTAATTTCACTGTTTGAAACAGTGAAATTACCACTTTGATAATTTCACAGTTTTGAATTTAAGCCCCTTACGTTGTTTCAGTGAAATACCAGCGTGCACAGTACTGGGTACCAACTTAATGACGTGACGTCGTAAATGACATCACATTGTATTATTATTTGGCGCGCTTTTTATTCAATATTAGGTTAAATGTCTTTTTAAAACATTTCTTTGCATATAATAAAAAGAAAATTTGTTTAGTTTAGTGTAAGATTGAAATATATTTCACCTTGTGAAAACCAAAAGTTCATATTTCACTCGTGGCTGCGCCACTCGTGAAATATTCTTTTTGGTGCTCACTCGGTGAAATATATTCCGATCTTACACTGAACTAAACAAATATCCTCTATATCTTAAAGCAACATGCCTCCAAATACATTCTTATTTTCATGAAAATTTAAAAAAAATACTAAAAAGAAACTAACAAAGATAGTAGTTTACACACTGCAAACAGCACTTTAAATCCAGGTACATTCCAAGTAGGTCAAAATATGCAAACATTGCCCTTTCTGCTTTAGTCATGCAGTAAAAATAAATACTGCAAATCTTTAAATATTTATAAAAAAATAGATATGTATTGTGGACATTCTTTCTTGGAAGACCAAATAAAACTTCACCAGTTATAGGAAATATGCTTCTCAAACTTAATTATTAGTATTCTCAAAATTACTAGTACATAAAACTAATCTTGCACTTGTGAATCAGCATATTTTACTATGAAAGTACTCACCACAGTTCCTAAAAATCTGATATCAAATCTGCCACCACCTAATTTTTGTGTCAGTTGTAGCAGACGTGACTGGCCATCCAACTTGATGTCAAGAAGAGGAGTTGAGAAACTAATTGTGTCCCCTACAGTGTACACACGCTCTCCTATTTGTACCTGAAATAAACCAAATATAAACCCATTGTTAGGTAGAACTGAAAGAAATCTGTAGCAATGTTCACCAGGCACATGTGCCCTTCTCCATTGCCATAAATTAATATCTACTGTTGTAAAATATTTAGAGATATTTCCAGCTGTTTTAGAACAATTCTTAGCATTAATAATTTAGGCTTTGAATGCATGAATTGGAAAAAATACCAAGTCACAGGTTTTTGACAGGTGTCAATTAGGAGTGACTGTTTAACTCCAGCAGAGCTTGTGAACATTAGCAAATGCCAGCCCACATAGGTAAATCAGTTACAGCACAAAACTTGCAATCACAACATTGTGGGTTCAATTCCCAGGCTGGCCAACTAAAATTACTGCTTAAATTGAGGTCCTAAGTACAAATGTTTTAACACTTGGTACGCTAAAGAACCAGAAGCTTCTGGAATTGGGGCAATTTTCTGTATCTTGCACTATCCCCCAAAATCTAAAATGACTAATACTCTTTTGGAGAAGTTACCAATATGGTCGACTGGTGGCGAGTATAACTTTAACTCAAACACACACACACAGCATTAAAAACTTCCCTATGTCTCCAATATATAGCAAATTATATCTGTGCAGTGTGACAGCACTCTGCACTGTTAGCTTATATCATTTCAAACATTTTGATATTTATAATGTATTATACTTATCATATCTGAATGAAAGAATAAATCATAACAGTAAATGTAAAAGAAGACAGATATATCTTACCTCAAACTTGTCCTCGTATTTACCTTTGATGTATCGAACTTCTAGTGAGATATCTACACCAGCTACATCAACATTAAGATGCCATGTCAATGGTAGATTACGCATCAATGGAATTCTACAAAACAATAACATCTGTCACTATCAAACCTACCCTATCTGTGCTCTTGACCACAAGCTTTGTTATTTATGTTATGAGGTTAATATACATTGTTGAATACAATACTAATACTATTGGACGATAGCCTGTATTAGACAAAACAATTGGTTTCGCAGCTGTGTATGAGTCCAATAGAATAAGTACTGTACTGATGAGCTGTTTATTTCACAACTTCAATTTTTTGACAGAACTTTGTTACTAGTATACAATAAGGAATTGATATGAATTTTTTATGTATTTTCATATATTAGTATTCTACTTGTTTTTTGTAAAGGTATACATGGTGATGCTTCATGCCAAATATCTGGGTAATGTTCTTTCAGATAACTTTTACAGCAGACCACAAAAAGTTATGTAATATGCCAAATATCAGGTATTGTAGTTTCACACAGGAACACTTACATGTATTTTCAAGTCTTTATTCTAGGCTCACCTATCCTAGTTTTCACTGTCTCAACTAATTTTAGCTGGAGGAAATACTTACCTATTCTGAATTTTAATGTTTCTACTAATTCTACATGGACAAAATACATGTACCTAGTTTCTACTATCTTTAGCTGAAATAAATACATGAACTAACTTTCTACTAACTCTAGTTCGAATAAATACTCACCTATCCTGGTTTTTAAAAGTTCGAGCAATAATTTGTTCCTTTGTGTAAATACAAGCTGCCAGCACTGTTAATTCTTTTAGTTCTGTATTTGACAGTGATTTACCTGTTAATATATAAAATATATACATTTTAATACAAGCTTTACAAACCCTAACCATTTTTTTTATTCTTTTGTGAAAAAAAGATGTAAAAAGGATTAAACTTTAGACAATGGGGTCATTGACCCTAAAGTGCGCACCTGAGGACAGACTGTTATCTAGGTCAACTGATATCAAAGTTCAATTCTACATCTGAAACTGTGCACATGGTCCAAATTCCAAAGTTGAAGAACAATGAATAAACAAGAGCACCGCTAGGCGGAGCATTATATGCCCGAAAGTGTTCTTTTTTTTTTAGTAAGGATGAAGCATTTGTAAGACATTACATAAATTAAATAAACTATTACCTCCTTCAAATAGTAATCCTCCTATAAAGTTTAAATATTGTGGGCCAAATGGAACTTAAGTTATGCTCTGGAAACTGTTTTCAGTTTTGAGGTAATAGCGACCTTAACTTTGACCTTGTGACCCCAAAATCAATAGGGATGTTCTACCCAATATGGAAAATCATCCTATGAAGTTTGAGTATTGTGGGCCACATTGAACATAAGTTATGTTCCGGAAATTGTTTTTAGTTTTAAGGCGATAGTGACCTTGACCTTTGACATTGTGACCCCAAAATCAATAGGGGTCTTCTACCCAATATGGACAATCATCATATAAAGTTTGAATATTGTGGGCCAAATGGAACTTAAGTTATGCTCTGGAAACCAAATTACTAACGGACGGACGGATGGACGTACTCACAAAATGGTACTTATGTGACTTTTCCTTTGATCTTTTTGGCAATTTTTAGTCACAGGACAGAAGGCTTAAAAAAAGAAACAAAGTAAAAACGGAATGAATAGGATCAAAGAGAATTTACTGTTACCCATTGTTCTCCAAGTTACACAATGTCCTCTGGGTTCGTACGGACGTAACTTTGATATTTAAGAGGCAAATCAGCTCATAAACTACACCTGGACGTAAGTCCATAAGCTGAATTCAGCTCATAAAAACAAAAAATAGCTCACAATATGAATTTTATGAGTTTTTGTTCTTTATTTAACTACGGAATGAAGCTCATAAATATCAAATGTTTGCTCGGACAGACAGAGGGACAGACGGACACCAGAGGGTATAACATAATATGCCCGAAAGAAATTCTTACGAGCATATAGAAAGAAGGTCACAAAGTCTCCCTGAGGCAGGGCCAATTTTGACCCAAAGACTTTAATTTAAACAATCTTGATACAGGTCCATCAGACAATGATTTTCATGTCAAAAATCTAACCTTCAGTTTTCTCTGTTTAAGAGAACCTACTAATGCAACAGACCAGAATCATTTGAACAACTTTGAAAGGGGGCCACCAAGGTCATTCATTCATGTGAAGTTTTGTTAATTTGCAGTCATTAGTTACAGAGGAAGTGTTGTAATATAAAATTGTTGATGACCCACAATGCACGAAGACTGATGGAAGGGGGTCACATAAGCTCACAATGAGCACATTGTGGAAAATGGAGGAAAAATTCCTTTATGCAAGCTCATGATTACAGCTAGGACACAATTTAAGGGACTTGAAACATGATATTAGGGCAGTGTTATCTTTTCATTCAATAAAGGGCAAGCACTGCCATTATGTATTGTTTTTTGTTGTGATATTTTTGTCTGAACTTAACAGTGTTAACAAGAAAATGTAAGCCCAAAAAAAAATTAACAGTAAATTTGTATTTAAATTATCTTAACATAATGTTATGTCAATTAGATGCCAATATAAGACTACTTATCTAATCGAAAGTGGTTGATCCCTTTTTATTATGTCTCTGGTTAGAGTAGTCTTAGAATTTAGATATAAAAGGATAACAAGATACAGTCTTATACAAAAATTTAAAGTGACTTACCCTGAAAACCATCTGGGAAGACAGTTTGTAAATATTTTGTTGTAATATCCCCTGATACAAATTTCTTTTCAGTTATAATATCTCTTAACAATGGGATGTTGTGTGTAACCCCTGAAATAAAAAAATACCTAAATGACAAACAATTAACAATAGTAACTATCCATGGCAAATAGAATATTACTTTTTGCTTTCTTCACAATAACACTATTAGTAATAAAGACTCTACTGACAGATTATTTTTCAGGTATTATGACCCTGTATAAATGGTTGTTTGTATATATAACCTGAGCTGCTACAGTACGCTCAGCGCGGCAGAAAATTTTCACCACCGCGGACATAAATCGGCGGCTGAAACCGTTTCCCCCGCGGAACGCAGTGGTAAATTGCGGAGGAACACGGCGGTCAAACACCAGTCAACGTGGTGGAAACCTTTAATTTTAAAAATTAATTACTGTATTTAAATATCAGTATACGTACGTACTGTAACATGTACTATACATATAACTATATGTAAAATTTGTTTGTTTGTTTTCTTTTTTGTTGTAATAAAAGTACATGTACAAATGCAGTGTATTTCTTGTTCTTCTTCTTGTTATTGTGTTGGGTAATGTATAATATGTATTCGACATCAAGATAAATCATTGTCGTCGCAATTTCATGGTAGTGAGAAACTTGAAGTCAAATAATGAAAAATTCGGCATATGACATTTATGAAAAAGATACTGCAACAATTTATATGCCAGCTTTTGTTTCTTATTTAAAAACTTTGAAAACGTAACCCTCAACAATTTATTCAGGCAATATTCCAGGACGTCTCTTTCAATTGTCAGATGCGTTTTACTGTTTCTGTTTATTTGCATGTTGATCATAAAGTCTTATATTTTATTTGGAACATTAAAAGAAAGCGTTTATTTCACCAAAATATACATTAAATGATATTCTTGATTTATCTAATTACAGGTGTGAGCGTAATGTATATGTTTTGAAGTTTGTATCAACTGTTGAAGTTTATTTTCATTTTTGTTTTAGTAGTTTGTTTGTTTGTTCTTTTTTATTTTTTTATAGATTTTTTTTGCAGAATTTTGTTAAACTTGACGTTATACTTTTTGTTATTTTATTATGAACAGTATGCATGTACATACATGTATATAAGGCAAACAAGCACATGGCAGTTATTTTCTAAGAACTTCCATCGACCGATTTTCAAGTTAAAAATATTTCATTTTATTTTTATCTTAAGATATTATTGTTCATAGGAATAATAGTATTTGTAGACAACATGTAGTTTTAAGTACATACAATTGAATATTAAAAACAACAACAAAAACAGGTACAGCTGTAATTATTTTTATTTCAAATTCCGTTCAAATAATTTAACGTATAATAACATTTAAGGAGACGATTGTGGTCAATTTTCAAGTCATTGTGTAAAAAAGATGACGTTAAAAAATAATAAAACGTCTATTATTTTTGGAGGTTAATTTATACTGACCAACTGACCATGGCGTTCCCCCGCGGGAAACGGGTGACTGATTTTATCGATGAATGAAGAACGGTCGTCAGAATTTTGTCCGCGGTGGAAACAACTGAACACCGGGGATCGCGGGGAAATTAGGCTTCTCATCGCGGACGAACCCCCACGTTTGTCCGCGATAAAAAAAATTTGTCCGCGGTGGTATCGCGGAAAAAGCAAAACCCGCGGTGAGCGTACTGTAGGTGAGGGTTATATTGTAAATAAGTGTTTATATACAGCCATATAACCTATCAAGATACTCTAAAATGAAATTAGAACACTGCAAACTTTCTGTATTAGATAAAATAATAAAAACAGATCTAAAAACCCAGCTCTTTAATGGAAACAACTCAATTCTGGCATTCCTTGTACAAATTAAACAAAACTGCTAAAAGCTAACCTTTAATAACATAGGAATCCAAGGCTGTAGTCATGGTATCCAGAGCTTCTGTTCTAGAATCACCATATGTAACTAACTGAAAATTAATGAAGTCACTAAACACATTAAAAATTCTTATTATCTTTTCCACTATATAAAATGAAACACCCTATATAACTTAAGCATAAGAAAGGACCTTTAAGTTCAATCAACTCTCCAAACAGCATGTGAAACATTTTTTTAACAACTGAAAAATAAAAACAAAACACTAATGAATCAATAAAATATGAAGTCCTTTAACAGTAAAGTTTAACCAAGTTTTAACATGAAAAACTTAAGTTCATGTGATGTGAATACATGTATATCAAGTTGTATTATCATCTGTTTTAGTAAGTGAACTTATAACATGTTATACACCAGTGTATTTTTATCACTTGTTATTTATTGATTCTTTGACAACAGTCACTAGCACAATTCAACAATCTATTAACAAAAAGTTATAAAACAGAGATGAGACATTACCTTACAGATCATTGGATCATAATAGATACTAATCTGTGAACCTTCCTGTATACCACTATCACATCGCACCTGAAATTAACAGTCTGGTTTTTATCTATTGCATTTTTATCTATTGCTAAGTGACACTAATTATATTTCTAGAAGGGAGGTAACTTGTTAGAGTAACAAAAACAAGTTAGGTAATTGTTAAGATTTCTTCATGATGTTATTTTTTACACAAGTAATGAAACTAATAAATCTAAATTAGAAATCTAAACTGCTACCTGACAGTGTGAAAAAATTATGACATTCAGTTTTATTAAAAATTACCTCCCTTCTGTAACTATTTATAAATTTAAACAAAATACTAGCTTTCACACGAACGGTTGGATTATCATTACAGTTATTGTTCTTGACATATGACCTGCAATTTGAAATTAGGAAGACCTTTGTGACATTTAAAAGTTAATACTTTCAGGGAAGTTGTCTTAAAAATCTTAAACAACTGCTGTCCAAAGCCAATGTTAACACCATCAAAAGTAGAATATCCCTTTATGTTTGGCATTGTTGAGCTAAATACAAAATGAAACTGTTGCAAAAATACAAGAAATTACCTTTGGAATATGGGAAGGTTCTATATATTTGTACAATCTACCAATGGATGGCATGCCGAAATTTTTAAATGGATCTTCAGCGTACACTCTACATTCCACTGCCCATCCATCTACTGGTACATCAGACTGTTTGTATAATAACTCTTTTCCTGAAATAAAACAAAACTTTGTGCATCAGTTTGTAAAAGAACATGTGACATATTTTATATCAATAGCCAGTGGAAACAAATGGTATTCTGTGATTAATTCATTTTTTAATTTCAATTAAAAAAAATCTCTAAATATAAGGATTTGTAACTTAAAAGTCTTGAACAAATTTCATGTAAAGTTTATTTTCATTTTTTTTATGTTTTGTTGTTTTTTAACTTACTCTCATGTGATTCACTCTCCATTTTTTTTCAAAGCATATATATTGCTCAAACTCAATATGAAACTACTCAGATTCTAGGCTTATCGTAATTCTGCTGGAATTATTGATTCATCTGTGACACTAGTGTGTAGGCTGGCCTGCATATCTATGACTAAATAACTTTAAATTTTATCTTGATATATCCACATTGGAAATGGACTGTTCCAATGTTGGAAGCTGGACAAGTCCACTTCAGAAATTCAGTAGGTTAAGGGTTAACAATAAAATATCAGAATGTAACAGATATAAATCATATATTTATTTAAGAAATAATATATGTATGTGCTGTGTTTATCGGCTATTTAGTTTTGATGCGTAGGAATTGACCACAAAGGCCATAGGCCCAAGTGGTTAATTTTTTCACATCAAAATAACAAAACCAGAGTTAAATAGCCGATTAACACCGCTCAGACTGATACATGTATTATGTAGATTCTAACAAGACAAAATAAGGAAGATCACTTATGTTATTTTTTCAACCAGAGATAACTTCCAGTGCCAATTTTCATATAATGCTGTTCGATTTCGCATCCTACTGTTGCTAACATACAGAAATTATTAAACAAAAGAAATAAGAAGAAAAAAAAAAGTTAGTTTATCAAGTTTTCAACAATAAAAACTTACATCTTAGACTGGATTTTATTGTGTTTACATCAGTGTTTGATTAATCATTCTTGTATGTTTGAAATGACATCATGAATGAGTTGTTTACTTAGGATGACGTCATTACACTGCTTATGGATCAGCGCCGTTTTGTCAAAATATTTTTTAGTTAATATGGATCAAATATGTGGCATTAATGTATGTGAGATATTATTTCAGTATTGTATGAAAGGAAAACATTATAAGAACTGAAAATATAAATAAAAATGCTTTTTATTGTTGCTCTAAAAGGCTTTGTAAACTGTATAATCGAGGGAGAAAACATAACAGACGCATATACAAGGAGTCCCTAACTAGTGTTTATTGGCAGTTTAACGCCGGTTTTTTTCTTTGTGTATAGTGACAAAATCTCGAGGAGTGTTAGAATATATTATAAATACCTTTAGCAGATCGTATCATCTGATGTACAATATCTATGCCTGTAATACACTCTGTTATAGGATGTTCTACTTGAAGTCTTGTGTTCATCTCCAAGAAATAAAAGTTCTTCTTAGAGTCCACCAGAAACTCAACAGTACCTTTCAAACATTAATATATTCAGTAATTTTTTTGTAATTCCTGATCAATGTACAATTTTTTTTTAATGAAAGTCATTTTTAAGATCCTTAATTCTAAAAATTCTTTTAAAATGCTGAATTCTAAAAATTTATTTAAAATGCTTAATCCTAACAAATATTTTAAAATGCTTATTTCTTATTTAAACAAGTATTTTAAAATGCTTATTTCTTACAATTATTTTAAAATGCTTATCTCTGAAATTTTTTTTAAATTTCTAACAATTATTTTAAATGCTTATTTTTAACATTTACTAGAAAATGCTTATTTCTAACAATTATTATTGTTTTACACAGACAATGGAGAATACCTGCAGAATCATAGCCTACTGCATGAGCTAACTGTACAGCCTGATCTCCCATCTTCTTCCTCATTACTGGGTCAACAAACACACTGTAACATAAAGTATAATATTATATTATCTGTTTTAGAAATATTCAACCTTACAAATATTTCCTACCTTGACTTTATGATGAAAATAACAATGTACTGTATATTTAAGTTTATAGAATAAGTAAAACTTTCAAGAAGCATCAAAATGTTTGAAAAAGATGTATTTGGTATAGAACTACTCAATAATTAGGGGAGAAGTTGTGTGAACAGTTGGATAGCTCAGCACTTTGAGCCATAGAGCTGCAAAGCAGTTACGTGGGTCCAAGGTCCAACATTTAGTCTAGCTGAACATTTTTCTGTGACAGATGCATATGCCAAATTTTGTGGCATATGTAATAAATAACTATTCCCTTAAATTGTTTAGACAGCAACCAAGCATCAAAATGTATACATATATTCTTGGTTATTTTAACTTAAAAATATTTTTTTTCTTCCTTTCTTAACACTGACATAATTAATACTGATCATGTTATTCATATAAACAAAAAAAGAAAGCTTTTTTTTACCTTGGGGCTTCTTCAATAACTTTCTGGTTCCTTCTCTGTATAGAGCATTCCCTCTCATTAAGCCAGATACCATTACCATGTTTATCACAAAGCACTTGTACCTCTATGTGACGCGGATTATCAATAAACTTTTCAATCAACATACGGTCATCTCCGAAACTTGACGCTGCCTCTTGTGATGATAATCTGTAGATTTTATGTCAAACAATGCATCTTAATAGGTGTTGAAATTAGGATCAAACATCTGTCATTTTGAATCAATGAAAACTTTTATACTTCATAGAAAATAAAAATCTATACTTGAGTTGTGTGTCTCTGACAGTGACATACATTTATGGCAAGATTATATCTTCAGTGGTTTTGATGATAGATCTTGTATCCTTATGGCCACAGATGCCCCATTTAATTATACATGAAATATCATATTAACTATTCACACTTTTCAAACCAGCTTGTAAATGATCAGACTGAATATTGCAGCAATATACATTGTATATTTCAATCTAATACTGACAAACAATCTCTATAAATGTACAGTAAATGTACCTAAATGCTTCTTTACACTCCTTGTCATTCCATGCTATCCTCATTCCCTTACCACCACCTCCAGCTGAGGCTTTCACCATCACTGGATAACCTGTAACCAAAAATAAATACTATATTGTTTATCATTTAGTACCAAAATCAGTTTTTTTAGCTTTAAATTGGAAAGAAAGACATCAGATTGGCCCTTACAATGTGACAACTTCCAAACATTAACTGTTACATAGAGACCCAGATATATCAAGAAACAGCAATTTTCCCCCTTGAATTGATAATGAAAAAAAAAACCCCATGATACAGATAGATTACATTGTTTTAAGTACAGCAGTCCCCTGAGTGGAACCACCAACCATATAAAGGTAAGCTAGATAGCTAACCTTATATCTAACACCACTGCATCATTACATTAATTCATAAAAGAAATTTCATTCTGTTCTCTATTCGCCTTTCTAAATATTGATGTAACCAAAGTGTACTAAATAAGAGAGTGACAACAAATCTCACCTATTTCATTGGCTAGTGTTACACAATGGTCAGCATCAGATACAACACCATCATGTCCGGGAATCATGTTCACCTGAGCTTTAGTTGCTATTCTTTTACTCTCAATCTTATCTCCCATAGCTCGTATAGCCTCTGAATTTGGTCCAATAAACTCAACACCTATTTCATTCTGTAAATTATTATATAATTATCTACAGTACATGTGTAACTCCAAAGAGGTGTTATGAACAAAACTTATAATTTACTTTAAAAACATCTGCGAAACTTCAATATTAAATTCATTTATGATAAAAGTACAATATGTAGTAGAATCAACAAGTAGGACCACCAGAGTAAATCACCATGCAGTTGGCAAGTAGGACAACCAGAGTACAACCAAGTAGGACCATCAGCAAAGAACCACTAGGTAGAGGGTAGGCACTTGAGTATAACCACTGGTAGATCCACCACAGTGTAACAACCTTTTCCACTCATCCAAGCTACTTGAAGCTACTTGAGCTAATAAAATCTATTATAATTATTTTTCTTATAAGCATACAAGAGTTGAACATTGACACAGAACAAAATCAATACAAGAAAATTGGAAGATTAAGAAATATGGAAATACTCACCAGTTTTGCAGCAAACACTGTATTTTCTGACAGGAAGCCATACCCTGGATGTACCTGTGTGTACAAAATCCAAATAAGATTTGTCCCATATGTCAGTGATCCCTTTACTTATATTACCTTACTAGAACTACAAATGCACATGTATCACCTTTACTATACTGTTAATTTGTCTTCAATATATAAAGAGAACCTTCTGTTTTCAAAAATTTCCATTAAAAATGTACACAGTGCAACCCGAGTTAAAACCCAACTTTGAATAAATACCATATTCAGAAAATAATAATTAATAATCTTTTAATTTTCTCTTGTATTAACTTTTGTATTAAATAAAATCAAACTTTTTAAGAGACTATCAGTTAACAAAGTCTTTTTTTGGCTATTTTCCAAACTGGTTTATATGTATAATATGCCTACAATACATTCTAGAGGTATATTGAGCATCAAATATTTTAATCAGTGCATTTGTTATTAAACAAGGTTCTTGCATAATGCATTATTTAAAGTCTTAAGGAGTGAGTCTTAAGTTTTATTGACTATATTTTAACTACTAATTAAGGAATTCCCACTGTTATTTTTCATGATAAAGACAAAGTCTATATGAAAATTAGCACACAAAGGGAAGGAAATAGTTTTGATCTTTATACCAAAGAGTACAGCAATTCTGTGATACTATGGGCACACTGTTTAAAGAAATGATGTACTCTACATGGCATTACAGCTGAACTCTCTTTACCAGGAATTTGACCGTATTGCCTCATGGCCGACATTTCAATCATTGAAGATATTGCATTAAGAACACAAAACATCACTTCATTCAATACAAATTACCATTAAAGAAAACTGCACAATCTGTTTTGATAAAACATTCTTTCCTATAAGACTACATGTATTATGTCTACTGAACATAACAGTAAAATGGACCAAATAAGAATGATGAAAAATTTTGATTGTTAATACTCAAAGATGTAGAAAATTCATTTAGGTCTAACATGTTTTTAACTATTAAAACAAAAGAGGCAATATCCACAATATGTACTTACTGCCTGAGCACCAGTGTCCTGGACAGCTTTGAGAATATTCTCCATCACAAGGTAACTCTGGTTTGTTGGAGCTGGTCCAATACAAATTGCCTCATCTGCCATTCTCTTGTGAACCTGGTAATAAAATATTTTATTGATGACTTATGATAGAACACAACTATACAATACTGTAATGATTGTTTGTAAATCAATCAATAAAATAATGACTTTTTTTATCTCAGTGAGATATAATCTAAACATTTTATTCACAAAATATCACTTTAATGAAAATAACAACATCATGCATACTGTACTGTAATTTAGAACAAATCAATAAAGCAAAATAGTTTTATTCTTTTTTCCATATAGATTGAGATCTATTCAAAACAGTCAAATATTTTAAATAAATCATCAGAAAGAGCATAGCATAGAAAATTTTCCTTAATTGTATAAATAAGGCAATATTAATATAAAAGAGGAACACTTGTCAGCACTCTGGTCAGGTTTTACTACTCTAATCTTTTCTACGAGATTGTGTAAAAGATACTCTTCATCGGGAATTAAAAATAACAGATTTCAAAGCATTCTTACAGTATAATTATCCTTTACAACAAATTTACATTAAAAAATAACTTACGGCCATTGAGTCAGCCTCGCTATGGACAGCAACTGTTTTAATACCAAGACGCCTGCATGTATTAATGACTCTGCAAGCAATCTCTCCTCTATTTGCGATAAGTATTTTATCAAATAACTGAAATATAAGTTACTGTACACTTAAGTAATAAAGTTAAAATGAAAATCCTTATTTATAAGGGCAAGAATGTTTCCTTGCTGTCAGAAGCTCGGAACTACATGCACATAACTCTCTTATACAATAAGAAATTATCATAAGCTGGAGTGCATGTCATCAATGTAAATGGTGAGAAGTTTTCATTCATACAGTAACACAATAATATCCTTTTGAAGAATATTTTGCAATTATTATCAACAGTGTAAACTTATACTTCATACACTAGTCTCAAAATGGTAAATAAATCTTCAAAACATACCAATTCATAGGTGTCATGCATATTATGCATTTTAAACTTATTATTACACACTGAGTTCTTTTTGAAAAAGGTTATTCATCCAACAGTCAATTCATTTTCATGATTTTCAACAATTTTCATTTAAAAGCTGAGGTGCAGTAGTATATTTCCATTGAAAAATTACTACACCGTCTTATAAGAGGTTCTTAGCAAAAAGTGCCATTTTTGAGTCAAAATAAGGACCCTTGTTTTATAAGCAGTCTGACTAATAGGCGAGTAAATATGGTTCATAGTGAAATTTCATAAAATACAAATGTTCAGCCAAACTTGAAACCTATAACTTTTTCTCAAGTCTTTAATATGTACAATCAAACATAGTTTTCCTTCTAAATTAGAAATTATTCTGTATACATTTTGCTGTACAACTTCAAGCATAGATACATGTTGTATTGGTATTACATATTCTCTATTGACTTTAGATTATGATTGCTTTGATGGACACAGAATAAAACCTTTGCAATGTGGACATATGTGGTACGTTTTGTACATGACTGTGTGACTTTATTCTTTTTAAAATTAAAATAGAATAATATGTAATTGTACATACTGGTTCTCCATCCACTGTTTTATCATTCCAGTACATGTCCTTGAGCTTGGAACCAGAGGTGTAGATTGACCTTCCATACTGCTGTACACCACACACCTGAAAATGTTTAATCAAACAATTATACAGTGCCCATCAAAAGTCTGGAGACAACCAACAATTTACTGATTTTTGTGTAAAATTGGCAAAATTTGTCTATAAATGTTAAGAAAGTCATAAAGTTTTCATATCTTTATGACAGACTTACAGATTTACATATTTTTAGGGAAAACTGATAATTAACTAGTAATTTCGATCACTTCAAAACATTTTGATTATCAATAAAAATGGTGTGCCCAAATATGAACAAAACATCCATGGTGAGTCTAGTGAATATTCCAATGCAAAACAATGGTTTCGTATGAAGACAGAGTGCGCTGTGAAACCCTGAGGAGTCAAGGAGTTGCTGTTGCAGAAATTGCCAACACTCTGGGAATAGGAAGGTTAGTGTCTTAAATTTATCTTTTTTCTTTTTTTTTTCACTTCCTGAATACATAAAAAAAATTATGTAGCTTTGAATGTCTTTTCTTTGCTTAATTTCCTTGTTCTTCTTCCAGATCCACTGTTTACAAGATCCTGGTACGATTTGAAGTTACTGGAAGTCACCATGATCGACCTCGTTCAGGCCGTCCAAAGACCTCTACACTAAGAGATGATCGCTTACTTATCAGGCAGTCTCTGCAAGACAGAAGACTTACTGTTCCATTGCTCAAGAGGTCATGGGAATTGGCTGGAGTTAATGCTTCACATTCCACAGTTAGTCGTAGACTTCAGCAAGTTGGATTACAGAGTCATCGAGCCATTAAGAAGCCACTTCTGACCAATGCTCATAGAGAGAAGCGTTTGGCTTTTGCTAGAGCACATGCTAGCTGGACATGGGTGGATTGGTCCACTGTTTTGTTCACTGATGAGAGCAAGTTCAACATGTTTCAGACAGATGGACCAATTCTTGTCAGACGACGTCCAGGTGAAGCTCTTTTGGACAAATGTGTTGTTTCAACAGTTAAATTTCAAGGTGGTGGAATCATGGTATGGGGTGCCATGAGCTACCGGGGAACTGGTATTCTGAAGGTCGTGAATGGAAACTTGAATTCCTATGGTTACATTGACATTTTGAACAATTGTGCCATACCATCAGCTCATCTGCTAGGGTATGGAGATGAGTTCTGGTACCAAGATGATGGTGCCCCATGCCACCGGGCCAAGATAGTGAAAGAATGGCACTCCCAGAACAGCATTAGGTGCTTGGAGAACTGGCCACCATAATCTCCAGACCTAAACCCCATCGAAAATTTGTGGCATGAAACGAAGCTCAGGAACAAGCATCATGGTAATCTTAGAGAATTGTCAGTCAATGTTTGTGATTCCTGGAATGAGTTGACAGTTAACAGATGTAGAACATTAGTTAAGAGTATGCCAAGAAGAATTCAAGCCGTTTCGGCAGCTAGAGGTGGACACACTAAGTACTAACTGTGTAACCTTTTCTGTAGTGTTTTTGTTGGTTGTTGTGCTATAAGTGTAAATGAGACAATATTTGGCATTTTGATACCATTTTATCTAAGTTGTGTATTGTTTTTGTGATGATATATGACATGAATGAATTGTTATGTGTTATTATACATTCAAATTGTATTAAATTGAATATTTTGTCAAGAATACATGATTTTATTTACTTGTCTCCAGACTTTTGATGGGCACTGTAGTTATATCACTTGTAATATAGTTATTTATTTTATATTACTTTTTAAGTATTTATAATTGAAAATACCATTTTTAAGTTTTGCAGCTATACATGTAGTTTCATGATTTGCATTTTCAAACTGCATTTTAACCTGACAGTTGTTCAAATAACAGGTAATAACTGTTATTACATTTTTGCTAAAATGAATTATTTTAACTAAAATCTAAAATGAATTATTTTAACTAAGCAGCTGCCTTCACCTTGTCCCTCGAGTGTATGGTCACTCATATCAAAATCTTGAATAGTGAAGCACACTCCGGGTGTGTATCTTAAAAAACTTTAAAGATATATTTCTGACATACCTAGTAATAGTGATTTGCATAAAACAGGGCTAAATGTGTCTTCTTAACTGACACAATTGTTAATTCTTACACCACCCCTATTTTTCACTATTGAATATAGACAAACCAAAAGTGTGTGCTATTATGTTGATGTTCTATATTTAGATATGTGATGTATTCATTATACATGTGACATAACCACTAAAATATCTGTTGCACTGAAAATAAGTACGCAAACAAATATAAATATCCAAATCGGTAATTTTATTGTCCAAAAACATCACAGTTTGGGAGTTTGGATGCGAGGAATTGTATCAAATATCAGACATCATAAATGATTTTCTTTTATTTTGTTAAAATATAAAATGTAATCATATTATTTAAACCAACATTAAGTCACTTGTTTCCTATGACCTTGGCCATTCAAGTACATGTACATCATTATTCTATAACATTTTCCTATAATCAAAACAAACATTTGTGCAATGATGCATAGCTTATTTAATTAAAAGATATAGATACTTAATTATGAAAACGGATCAAGAAAATGCAACTAAATGATATTATGTACAGGTACAGAATGATCAAAAGTTTAAATTCAGTAAATATTGAGAAACACTGTAAAGGTTTCAAAATTACCAATTAAATTGAACAGTTTTATTTTAGACAAAGATTAAATGAAGAAGCCAAGATAGAAGGTCCAATTTATTTTTCCTTTTTCCAAAAAAAAAAGGGTTAAGAAAGGTGGATTTCTACCTGCCATAATAACAAGGCTGCATTTGTAAATTATGACTATAATTATATCACTCCACAGATGTTTGGGGGTCAGAACAAACAAACAAATTTTTCAATAAGAAATGAACGCATATATTTTAAATGTGGGCAAATATTTGCAATACATATTTTAAATGTGGGCAAATATTTGCAATACATATTTTACATATATTCTTCGATGTTTGAAAATTGTTTTAGAAGCATAATTATATACATATACGAGGGTTGTCCCAATATTCTGTGACAAGATTGTTTAAAAGCTAAATAAAACAGGTACGAATTTGATATTTTAATATGTTATAAACCCATATAATTTAAACATTTTCACAAATTTTCTTAGATAAATATCAACAAACAACAAAAATATGCCATAAACACCATCGCAACTAACTGAATCGCGGCGCACGTCCAACGTCAAAGACGGCGTTAAATCTATATAAGGCGCCTTTCTCAAATACTCTCAATGGCTTTCAACGCAATAATGGTACCCATAAATCGTAAATTTCTGACTTAAATCATGTGGTTGTTAATGTCTGTTGAATGTTTGGATGGCATACATTAATTTTTGCTTTACGCGAACTTCCGGTCTCGTTACTCCTGTTTTTAGCGACGAACATCGGTCTTCCTATCCGTGTTTTCCTTATTTTCGCTTTTTGTAGCGCAAAACTCTGGTTCTGTTCATGCCTTTTGTACACAAATGCTCAGAATATGTTGCTAAACTGTTATATTTGGTATATCTGTTGAAAATCGTTACATGTGTCATCTCGAAATAGTCATGAAACCTGAGTGACATGTTCACTGCGCCGCAAATTCTTCGAACGTCGCCATTTTAACTTTCCTATTTTATATGAGATATTTTCATTTATTTGTATCTTTTTCGTTTTTTAAGTTATTTAACTAAAATTTTCAGAGATGATTTAAACATAGCAGCAGAGGAAGTCAACGTAACATTGTGCAGACACATCATCAGATATTTGAAATATACGTAATTAATTTCAGCCTATTCATAACATAATGTAAATTATTTGACGCGCGGCGGCAACTCAAACCAATGTCCTTAATACTGAAAATTCTTAAGTAACTAGGGTAAATTTTTTGTGAATGATTTGTTGTAATGATAAATAATAAAGTTAACGGTTATATGTGTGAATTATTTTCTTTTGGCGTTAAAAATGAACCGGCTATAAAATTTGTCACGAACTTTTGGGACAACCCTCGTATATATAAAAGTTCACTTAAGGTATGGTCCACCTAATGCATTACCTCCACTTTGAAGAGTATTCAAATAGGCTAGAACTACTGTCAACTGCATTGTAACTGGGGGCGCGGGTTCAAGCCCCAGAAGAGGCAACTTTTTTTTTTTCTTTCTTTTTTTTCTTTGAACGTTATTTGTGTCTCCTAGATCACTCTTGAGAAGAAAAAGGTGTTTCATTTTAATTATGAAATTATTATTGGTATTTATTGGCTAAATTGTGCCAAATTTATTATCAAATATGGTACCTGATATTTTCAAAGTCTAATAAAATAAAAACTAAACGGTAAAAGTATTTTATATTTGACAAGCACAATCAATATACTTTTAAAAAGATTTATGCAAACTTTGAAAACAGCCCCTGATTTGAGTAAATTTTAGGGATATTTTGAATAAGGCCCTGCCAGTAGAAAAGCGATCAAAAAAACTACTTAAAATGGGTGGGGTAGGGTTACTTTTATATACATATTTCAAACATTTTGAGTGGAAACAATAATTTTGCTGGGTCATTTGTTAGTTCAATGCTATTATATGTTTCATAAAAATGTTCTATAGAAAAACATTTTTTCATAATGATTATAAAATAGAATATTTAAAGTTTCTCATTTCTGAAAAAGAGCCCTTCTAATAGCCAAGTTTTACTTAAGAAAAATCTCCATAACTCGTAAACCATACGGTAAACTTTGTTTAAATTTTGCATTCTTGTGTCTTTTAAGGGATATAACTGACCTATGTTGTCAATTTTACAGTTCCTTATAGTGCCCATTACGGGGCTCATACCTTAAGTGTGGTAACAACCTTAAATACAACATACAGGATCTTTGATATTGAAATCAACATTCATTTAAATAGAAATTTAATTTGCATCCTGATCAAGCAGTATATGAGGAGTTCTTGGCTCTACATTGAGCACTTATTAAGCTGGTACATATAGGTGTACTGGTCAGAGACCATCAGCCAGACACTTTTTGAACATTTTAGCATAAAGATTTCATTATTTCAAAAGTAAAGATCTGAAAATTTGATACCGTACAGTTTAGTAATAGGTTTTTCTCCTATCTAGCAAACTACTTTGTTTAGTTCTGATTATGTTGACATATATGTCTGAGTGAGGCCCGTCAAGGAGGGTATCAAAATTATCTAAATTGTACACACACTACAGTAGCATGTGTCTGGACAGATATTTAATTGACATTGATTTAATTAAGATAAAAGCTGAGTGTTTAATTTCAAATTTTTAACATGATATACAATATTTTTGGCAGCAATTGCTCATGTTTTGGATATTCTATTGTTTACTCTGCAAATGATTATAGCTATAATAAGAGGTCAGGCATTGCACTCTTGCATCCAAATTTCCAACGTCAACGTTCTTCAAATAGACATTAAAATATAACCATTTACTCAAGTTGAAATAAATTTTATAACTTAATTATAAAAGAAACATGCATTTATTGTTGATAAAAAAGCAACTGATATACCGACAACCGGGGCTTTTTCCTTTTATAGCAGGGGCAGTTATAGGGCTCCTATCCCAAAGAAAAATTCTTTAAAATCAATCAGCAGTGTGTTGTTTTCCACATTTTCCTATTTTTTACAATGAATTCTAAATTTTTGAATTTGGTGGTCAGGTTTGGTCTCCCACAAATGATGATTTTGATGCAAATTTTGTCATGAGAGAATTATAGCCTGGATTCCAGCTCAAAAAATGAAAAAAGAGCGCAATAAGCTAGGCTAAGGTCGCAAATTGGTTGGACAGAAAATTTGTGTTTACATTTTGACTGCAGTCTTTACGTTGTAAAGACTTTTAATTTATGTTAAAATTGTTTGAAAAACCAGTTTTGTCATTACAGCAGATGTCCCATTTGTGTTTTGAAGTTAAAAGATTATTGATAGAGTGTTTACAGAATCTGGCACAGTGGTACACCCTGTAACCCCCAAGAGTCAGTGGTTCCAACACAATTGATATAAATTGTGTAGGATTTTAGATTGTCATGGTAACCTAGCTTATTTAGCTTAAAATTATTTGAGTGTGAACTTTCTATACATAAAACTATCAATAAATTAATAAAAATGGCAATGTAAAATATCTCAATAATGCTAAGCCATGACTGGACCTTGACCTTTAGAAAGAAACTTTGAAGTGAAAGTTGAAAGGACAACTTTCAAGAAATAAAAATCAGTGAAAACAAGACCTTTCCTTTGATGACAATACTTCAAATGACAATTTTTGTTAAAGTATTATGATTATGTACCAAATGCAATAAATACTTGCCCTAAACCTTAACGCAGAACAGAGCTTTCCCGATTTAAACATAGTGTTGTGCAGTCTGGCAGTAACAGTGGTCGCCATTTTGGTTAGGGTGAAGGTCGAAACGGTGTTACTGTTTATGGGTACCACTAAAATACGCAACGGAGATTTTTTGGCGCAACGGACGCAACGGGCGCAACGGAGATATTTTTTTAGAAAAACCGGCACAACGCCTTTTTTAAAGTCAATGTGCTATATTTAAGCATCTAAAATGATTGTTTGGCACTATTAAGTAAGTATGTTTTAAAATGTTTCATAAATTGTATATGTTTAATTGCACTGAAGGGTTATATGCCTGGCGAAATGGAAATTTCATGGCGAGATATTGTTTAGAACAAACCGACACAACGCCTTTTTTTTGAAGTCAATATGTTATAATTGAGCATCTAAAATGATTGTTTAGCGCTATACTATAAAGTAAGCATGTTTTAAAATGTTTCATAAATTGTATATGTTTACACTGAAGGATTATATATGCCTGGCGAAATGGAAATTTCATGGCGCAACGGAGATAATTTTGGAAAATCGGCACAACGTATGTACTAATATATGAAATTAATTAACACCAATGTTTAAAAAAAAGAAAGATATAAAAAACCTTAATCGTATATCAAATAATCAATAGCTGCAATGTTGATGTTGTAAAGGATTGTGTGCCGGCGAAATGGACATTTTGTCTGCGCAACGGAGATTTTTATTTGGCGCGACGGAATTTAAAAAGAAAACAATGTTTATCCTAATTAAGTAGTAATATGAAGAAGTAAATCATTAAAGATATTAACTGAATTACTGAAGTGGTGTAATAAAAGTCTTTTTTATTAATTTAAAAATGGAATTAAATTCGTTTTTATTGTTATGCCTGACACTGAAAGACAAGTATGGATTCACGGATTTATATTATGTCAATTAAAGTCCGTGATGGATTTTACAATCCGTTTCATTTTTTTCCCGTTCAATTCGTTATGTTTACGAAAAGTACTGTAATAGCTTTTCTATACATAATTTTCAGAATTTTACTCGAAGAATACGAAAAGTCCGTAGTGCATACGCTGTAGACTTTCTAATGTAATCTTACGAATAAATTATCAAATTTCAACAAAACGCTGCTTAATGGCTTTACTGCTGCACAAAGAAATACGTTTATTTCCGTCATGGCTGATATTCAAAGATAAACATGAGTCTTTAAATCTGTTTCTTTTTTTCCGTGTATTACGTTATATTTACGTTAAATATTGTAATGACTTTAATCAATGACATGCATGTAACATAACATAACGTAATCTTTATTTCTCTCAATACATGTATACATGCAAATACATGTATGAGGAATTTACAATAAATGGTATAATCATACGATATAATCATACGAGGCTCACAAAAAAATAATTAACGAGTGACATCAGTATTTATTTAATGTTGATTTAAAGTGAGCATTCCCCCGTCTCCAGCCACCCACGTGTCTCTAAATAGCGAAAAAAATTTCAAAACTTATATTTCATTTTTTTCTCTCTTTCTCTTTTTCTCATGATTTTGCAGCATTGTAATACTCATTGACCGGATACTGTATTATTTTGTGTTAATGTAAATTTCGTAATAACCCCATGTTGTACGATATGATATCTTCATGTACCTGGGTGAATAAAAAGATATGTTCTGTTCAAAAAAAGAAAAAGAAAAAAAAAACCGTTAAAACCAAATGCAGCTACTGTTATATAGCGAAACAACAGCAATTTGGCAGAATGTTTATCACGGGTTTAATCCGATAATTAAATTACCACTGACACGTGGTTGATGTTTATTGGACACGCGTTTTCACACCATTTAGATAATGTGATTAAGAGGAACATGAAGAAGAAGAAGAAAAAATAGTTTATTTCGGTAACTTATACATTTACAGTATCTCGTTACATACAATAATTACAAATATAATAATTCTGTGGTCACATGACAAAAGCAAAGAAAAAATAATAATAAGAATATAAAAAGTTTTAACTGATGACATTCTAACGGAGAACAGACAGCTGCAAATAAAGGAACAAAAAGCATCACAATTTCATTATCATTCATAGAAATAAAAAGTTCCAGTAAGAAGAAAAACACCAAAAACAGAAAAGACGTGACAATAACAGCGTCAAAAGTATAATATTACATGTATCTTTCTAACGATAATAAGGATAATAAGTTGAACCAATTAACATTTCGAAATGTGTTATGAATTAACAACGGATAGTAACAATTCTTGTCGCTTTTTATTAGCTACATCTATATATATTTTCCTAAATTTACAAGTATAGCTTTATTATCTGATTGTAGTAAATCTACTAATTATACATAGAAGGTCTAATATAGTAATAATGTATTGACTTTAAGGTATTAAATATCTTTTATAACTTGTTATTGTCGAAAATATTACAATTGTTAAAAGCATTAAACACCCGTGCCATACACGTGCACGATGCATTGCTAATTGCTAACAATTCTCGCGTAATTGATTACTTTTTGTCAATATCATAATTATCAAATATTTTGATTGCTTTTGATGAAATATACAATGTATACACAACAAACAATTATTGAAAAAGTACACAATGATTAATGAAAGATAATAAAATAATATAATATGATAAAATTGTTATGATAATCCCCGTTGCGCCGAAATGTGTCCATTTCGCCGTAATTTAAATATCTTACAATATCCTATTTTCAACATTTTCTAAAATAAAGGAAAGTAAATCATTTTTAAAAGACTGTTACTTATTATTCTCAAATTCTTAAGTTATGTTCAAACATAAGGTCTACCCGTTATGCAAATCTTCATTTTCCGTTGCGCCGAAATTATGTCAATTTCGCCGTCCATTTAGAATCTGATATAATCAGTATTCTACCTAATAAATTCAAACTTATACAGTATATGTAAAAAATATGTATAAAATATCAACAATACCAACTTATATGATTATTTTGTGTTTTAGACATAAAAAAAAACAGTACAAGTACACAGTTTTGAAAATAAAATCTCCGTTTCGCAATAATCCATCGGCGCAACGGAGTTTAATAATGAAACGTATAACAACAATACAATGAATGTTTATAATAAAAAAAAATATGAACATTGATTATGTAATATCAACATATGACTTTATTTAGTATATACTAATGCAAATTCAATTAAAAATTATGTATAGAAAAGCTATTACAATACTTTTCGTAAAAAATAACGAATTGAACGGGAAAAAAATGAAACAGATTGTTAAATCCATACTTGTCTTCCAGTGTCAGGCATAACGATAAAAACGTATTTAATTCCATTTTTAAACTAATAAAACAGACTTTTATTACAACACTTCTGTAATTCAGTTAATATCTTTAACGATTTACTTCTTCATATTACTACTTAATTAGGACAAACATTGTTTTCTTTTTAAATTCCGTTGCGCCAAATAAAAATCTCCGTTGCGCAGACAAAATGTCCATTTCGCCGGCACACAATCCTGTACAACATCAACATTGCAGCTATTTGATTATTTGATATACGATTAAAGTTTTTATATCTTTTTTTAAAATTTATTTATTCAAATAACATTGGTGTTAATTAATTTCATATATTAATACATACGTTGTGCCGATTTTCCAAAATTATCTCCGTTGCGCCATGAAATTTCCATTTCGCCAGGCATATATAATCCTTCAGTGTAAACATATACAATTTATGAAACATTTTAAAACATGCTTACTTAAAAGTGCTAAACAATCATTTTAGATGCTCAAATATAACATATTGACTTTAACAAAAGGCGTTGTGTCGGGTTTTTCTAAACAATATCTCCGTTGCGCCATGAAATTTCCATTTCGCCAGGCATATAACCCTTCAGTGCAATTAAACATACAATTTATGAAACATTTTAAAACATACTTACTTAATAGTGCTAAACAATCATTTTAGATGCTTAAATATAGCACATTGACTTTAAAAAAGGCGTTGTGGCGGTTTTTCTAAAAAAATATCTCCGTTGCGCCCGTTGCGTCCGTTGCGCCAAAAAATCTCCGTTGCGTATTTTAGTGGTACCGACTGTTTATTCCACCTATCATAAGGACTAGTAAAGAGGAGAAATGCAGTATTTTTTGTACTGAATTAATCAATTGTGTGATGCGTCAAAACGGGTTCTTGCGGAAGAAAATCTTATCACCAAAATACATAATGGGTATCAGTATCATCGCGTTGCTTATAAGTAAGTTTTCTTATGGGTAATTTCTTTTATTGACTGCATTACACGGACTACTACTGTCTTGTCAAAACAACAAAGATAGAATTTACACCTGACATAGTTTCACTTTGATTTACAGGCCCGTCGTCACGATTTTGTGATTGGTGCGGCCAATTTGGTTGGTTTGAGCCAGAATCTAGGGGGTACGGGGGCATGCTCCCCCGGAAAAAAAATTATTCTAGGATGCTCTCAGGGGCGTTTTCCCGTATATTTGGCACAGTTTACAGCCTGCCGCTAGTACATGTTATAGTAATATATGTCAACGATTTTTTACATTTTTAAGTGCGCCGTAAGTTTTAAGGGTGAAATTTAAGGTTCGCATAACGGACGGACAGGTGTACATAAAAGATGAATACATGTATTTGATATTTGGCAAATGAAAAATAAACAATAACTGATGTTATAATTCTTTAGATGCATTTTTATCTGATAATTATAAAAAAAACAAATACAAGAGACATTACGTACAGTACGTGGGTTATTGTTTAACATAAATCACACAATGGAATAGGCTTAAATAACAATCCATGACATGATGGAAGAATAGTACATTACGAGTCACTAATAACCACTTTTTGTTTAGCAGTAACTTGTATTTTTTACACAACACAACACAGAGTCTCATTTTATGTACACATCGCCGTCGTTCTCTGGTGGCAATGAACTCATCGGTAAAAACACGTTAGTTAAATGAAACTGGCCGCCTGTACTTATGAATATGTAACACCATTAAGATTGTTCAAACGTACTTGAGACATTGTCGATCTCAGGTATGTCTTTCTTCTTCTGAGCGCCAAGAATGTCCTTTCACTTGTAGCATTAGTAGCAGGCATTTCTAACAAAATCGTAAACAACACAACGACCTCAAAGAACAGTGCTCGTTCTAGCACTGACTGAACTGACACAAATTTCAAAACGTCAGGTAGAGTAACAGTACTATTTTCTGATTTGTCAAAATGTGAACGTAGCAGCTAAAGCTGCACCTCTAAGATATCTCGGTTAATGTCGTTACCATAGGCATTTCAAACAAAACCAAGTTCTCTAGTGTACTATATACGTAAATCCTCCACGTTCTGAAGTACGGGATATCCCGGTTGGTCAAATCTCTATTTAACACTGGCCATGGCAAGATCGATTGCTTCAAAGTACTTATAGGCCAGTACACGGTTGCCGTATACAATCAATAAAATGTTATCAAGTTCTCGGAGAATTCAGACATACTATTTTAAGATATTCATAATGCATATTGCAAATCTCATGCACTGTTTTTTTTTTTGTTATTTCATAATATATATAACATTGATGAAATAATGTACGTTTTGGAAACGAAAATGATATTGGTTGATTTGGTTCCGATGGAATTGTGTCACACATAATGATAGTTTGCTATCTTAAGCTATTCATATTTTAGATACTTGTATGTGAACAGAAGTAAATTTTTAAGGATTGTGATGTTATATTTTAAATAAACATATAATATATATATATACTGTGAACTGTCCGAAGCCACGTCGATGTTAATTAATGCCAATTAAGATAACTTCACACTTGACTTAGTAGGACCCCTACATATACCTGGTCAATTAACAGTGCCCAGTTGTTTCTTCACGTCATGTTTGTATATTAACGCGCATTGCATAAGAGGCCAGTCAAGTGTCAAATTGATTATCAGCGATGTGTGTTTTTGTTTTTTGTTGTTTTTTTTACTCATTTTTGGCCAAAATATTGGTCCGGCCGAGGCCGGACCGGCCGGACCGTCGACGACGGCCTTGATTTAGTGATTAACTTGTACTTAAAATCTGTGTTGAATTTACTTATCAACTACAAATTATTTGCCACTAAGCGCAGAAAGTGATAAAGTTTATCATATGGAATAATGAGTAGTTGAAATATATTTGACATGCCGAAGCTAGATTCCGAGATATTTTTTTCCTGGGTCAGAACAATCTCCCTTGATTCTGCCTTTCTGGCCAAGAACAAAAATACCTCAGAGTCAGACTTTATCTTGGCATGTAAAATTACAATCTAAAATTACACTACACATTTGGATCTAACATTCACCCACAGGCAGTCACCTTCATGTGGACTTTCAAACAAACGATCATTCATTCATTGTCCCGCAGAAAGTTTTCATTATTTTGAAAGCGATGCGGTTTCTAATTTTAACCCTTGTAAACCAATACTGAATAGGTAATTTACGATTTTGAGAACAAAAGACATTGTCCATATAGCGGATAGGTCAAAACAATCTTGCCCACTTAAAATTAACTCTATTATTTAAAGTTAATTTGTTAAAAATTACTTCAAACATTTTTGTTTAACTTTCACGGATAATGGTATTTTGATACTTCTTCTTATGCCTATCTGGAAATACCCATTTGATTGCATGGCTAAAAATACAGAGACTGATAGCTTTCTCAGGAAATCCAAATTATAAAGGAGGCAAACCATATACGGTCATCATTAGATCTACATGGAAGAAATAAGTAGATCTGAAGATTGTATTCACTCATTGACAGGGATCAATCTGACTGTATTTAAGGTTGAAGTTGAACTATTATAAGCTTTCCTTTTAAAATAGAGTGAGAAGAAGTGTAGTGATGATAGATATATGCCGCCACTTTAAACAGGCATGCTATTGGGGTTAATAATTTAGTGATATGGTTAGTGTTTTTTAGGAGATCCTGGGTTCAACTCAGGTTTACAATAGCTGTAAATCTTCAGCTATTTTTGTACAAACAAACATTATTCACCAGTTCAGAGTACCTCATGAAGGTGATGATACAGTGGACTTTGACTAGAATTATTAGACTTCTGTCATAAGTCTGTTATATGTAAAAATCAAGCTGGAACTGTAAATTAAGCTGGAACTATAGAATGGTAAATACCCATTAAAATCCCCCACACTAACAGTTTGAAATATCCCACACTATTTTTAGTCAAAACGAAGTCACTACATTGTCCAGTGTGGGTACAAATGGAAGGCAAAATTACGGTCACATTTCCTGCTATCCTGTGCACTGTCCTGGTGATAGGGATACAACTGCTTTATGCTGGAAGTTTAAAACACTGCCGTCTGCAACTCTCATCTGGATACATGTATATAGGGGACTTGGTTTAAAATGACTGGTGCATAATAAATTAAATATAATATGCAAGTTAGCACACATAAAAGCTCAGGTAGCTTAATTACACTGCAATATTTACAGTTTAATTGATATTTATCGTCTCATGTCTAATTGAGCAAAAACAACAGTAAAACTATTGCCTAAATATAAAAGTTGTGCACAATAATAATTCTGTTCAAAATCTCATCGTTTGATGTTTAATTTCAAGATTTTTTTTTTTAAATTTTGAAGTGATATGATTCTTTTATTTCAAGGGAACTTGTGACCTCCATTGTTAGAAATTTTATAGAACAAAATACAGTCGACTTCACTTATAACGAACTTGCTATAACAAATTATCGTTAATAGCAAACTAAATCTGACATCCCCAGCCAATACTTTCTTTATTTTATATTAAATAACATTGTTTAATACTTACCCGCTTAAAAAGAATTTTTGGCTTTAAACCATTTTTTCAAGTTCCAAAAGGCAAAAAAATGTAAATTTCCTCGGTTAAAACAAACTTATAAATTGAATATCTGGATGCTCTCGATTAAGATCGGAACATGAATACCACTGTCCAATAATTATTCAATCAAGTGATTGCACAGGTAAGATTTTGATGAAATGTACTCACAACATAATTTCCTACTTGTTTGTGTTTCGCACCCACAATTGATAAACTGCTTTAAATACCAGATTAATTACCAATAACTGATTTTTTGTTTGCAATATTAACCAAACAATAATAAACAAATAGTAAAAGAATATAAATGGTAAGCACTTTATAGACAAGTACTACATGTCTTAATATATGTACCATGTACATAATATATTGTTTAATAAAATGCCCTGCATTAAATTATCGCTGCCGTAAAATACTGATTATACCGGTAACCAGTGACAGGTATGCCTTTTTCACGGCAAATTTATTCACCAAAACAAGTCAGCAAGTTGTTGCTATTTTACTTTTAGCGAACTTCGGATATAATGAAGGATATTTAAATGTCCCATTGAGTTCGTTATAAGCGGAGTCAACTGTAAATATTTTGAATTATTGTTAAAATTCTATTGATATAACATTATAGAAAAAATGCAAAATTTTATATATGCACTTATTGAAAGTTGCAGCCAAAATATTTTTTTGTAATTAGTATAATTATAAAATATTTATAAGATATATAATTTTATATAAACAATACCAAAAAATATGTATAATGAAAATCGCATAAATATTACCTATAAAATTTGGAAAAAAAGAAATATTTTGATTATAAAAAAAGAGATTTGTTGTCTATGATTTGCAAGGAAGTTGACACATTTGTAATACACAATGAGTATTTTGTTATTTTATGTTTTGATTATTATTTACAATATTATCATAGTAACACAAAGTAACAAGAAACAGTGGTCCAAAAAGAACATGTAACTTTTGGAAATACAACTGTTTGTTTTCATATTTTTTAATATTAATTAACCTACAAAATAAACTAAAGCTTAATATAAATATGATATTTTTATTCATGCAATACATGATATAATTTTAAAGAGAAATACAAGTTTTACATATACATTGCTACCTCTTCAGAGAGGCCCTGTGTAAAGCAATCACCTCTTTACAATAACTCAGTATAATTCAAGTTATTGCCAATTAACTGACTTAATAGGATAAAGCCAATTTTTGCATTGCACTTGAGCAAACAGATATCATCACAGTTGAACAAATATAGAAAAAAATCTTTGAGATATTTAGATATTTAAAGCAAACACACCCATTAATAAATCTTGAAAATATGTAAATGATAAAATCTTGTTATAGCGAGCACAGAGCAGCCATTGGGTAATTTACAGACTCTTCTATGGGCGTATGCATTTTGTACCAATAAAATCAAACCTTTTTATCTAAAAAAAGTTTTAAGATGGTAATGTTAATGAAATTGGCTTGAAATATTCAGCTTCTGTAGCGTTGTATCAGGAAGTAATTATTTGGGCGTTGTTTATTTATGTTAAATTTTTTACGATTAAAAGTCACCCAGAAAGAGAAATATAATTAGATATGTAATATTTGAAGAATTTATTTTTACTTGCAAATTGATGTTTACTCCATTTTCCTTTTAAAATTATGAAAATTTATCTATATTGAATGAGGCAGTAAATAAATGAATGGGTTGCAAACTGATGAAGTGTATAATTATAGTGAGTATTATAGTGTGACCTTTGCAAGTGCATTAAGTTTGCAAATATCAAGGACACAATATTTACTTATTATAAATTTTACCATGTAATATTTTCTAATCTAATAACCATTATTTGAGATATTCTAAATATAAATATTCAAGCATTGGTAGCAGTGAAGAGTTTCACTTCTGTTACGACATTCATGTTTATTTTGACAAATTGTTACTGATTGGAAACTGTCAGTAGCCGGATGTTGGAGTGATGAATGCTGTAACTATTATCATCATCTTAATCTAATAAATAGTTTAAGTTATCCAATTAAATTAAAGTACAGGAATAGCTGAGCTTGATTGGTTATTTATTGTAGCGTTATACATATATATAATATGCAAATTAACATGACTTTGTTAAATAGTTTAAGCTACAATTGTAATAAAACATTTAATTTTGGGAGTTTACTCTAGTGCTATTAGGTTTATAGTAAGGTGAGTAGTTAAGAATATTGTTAATGTTTTGTTATGACATAAAAAAATTTAATAATTAAAATTACTGCAGTTTGCACTAAGGGAAGCTTACCTCAGTGTGCGAAGATAACAACAAAATTTTTCTAGGGCAGTCAGAATGAACGCAGGAATATAAATGTTATGTGTCATTGAGTCAGTTTAATAGAAATAATGACCAGTTAATGCTTTATTCAGAAAAGAGACTTTCTATAATCATTACCTCCTTTATAATCATACCAATACTACTACTGACTCAACTTTAATGCAACTTGTATATACATGTATATAGAATATAAGAATTGCATAATCTGTTGGTTCATCAGTTGAGAGTTAAAATATAAATAAAGTTTTCAGATGCTTAAACAAGTCTCTACAAAAAGATTTTTAGACAATGTTCAATTTTACATTCATATTTTAATGCTACTTGAAAAGCATACTGGAAAGAATTGAGCGACTGTGACTGATTTGTGCTTCTCAGCCCTTCTGTCAATTTTTACTTACCATTCCTTGTGCCCAGTCTGCATTGACTTACTGATATCTGAGAAAATGTATGTTTTAACTTAAGGATTCCTCGATGGACATCTGTCACTGGGTGGTGGTTGAGGTCAAAGTCAAGGTCTTTTTGGCTCAAAATAGATTTTTACATTTTATTTAGGAGCAACTGTTACACTTTTCTTGACTGATATTCATTTCTATATTTGATGTATAATTGACCTGACATGCACATTTTCCCTTTCATGGTGAGGTTTGAAGAGTGAACAGGGTCATGCATGGTTATCAAAATATTTTACTGCTCCCTTGAAATCTTTTGTAAAATGGTGTGAAAGTTTTTTTGACATGCATGTATATTTATGAGTTCTAAGTGCCGTACAACTTGCTTTCTTTTGGTTTCTTTACAATATTATACTTTTATATAAATTTTCATAATTTTCATGAAAATTAAGGTAAATCTGGAGGCTTGCTGCTTTAAATGTGATTTGTATTAATATAAATGTTAAGCATTTGTAAGACTGATCAATTTTCTAACATTATACAAAGGAGCATAGACTGTCCAATAATCAATCCTTGTAACATGTGGTGAAAATTAACTTGTTTAAGCTCCCATGAGTTAAATAACGTTTTTTAAAACATACTGTTACTAAAAAAAAAGCACTCAAGATTTTTATGGAAAATTATACAAGCAAAGTCAGTTATAAGAAAATATTACTAGTTATGATTATACTGACTATTCTAATCCGTAAGTTGTTGTTTTATTCTGTCTCTGGATTGTATCGATGATCTATAAGGTATTTATTTATAGTCGGATACAAAGTTCTTGTTGCATCATTGTGAACTTATGTGTATGATATATAAATTGTGGATTAGGCACAGCTATTAAATTCTATATTTAAATGGATATGTTGTTTATGATTTTAGTTTGGAATTGTTCTATGATTGTCTTTTTAAATAGGTTTTCACTGTCAAAAAGTTATAACTAAGAAGTTGTGATGCACTTAGTCAATTGTTACCTAAGCTAGGTCCTTCATCCTTCATTCATGAATGGCGGGAACTTAACTTTTGGGACATTTCTGAAAATACAAACCCCTCAGGTAGAGGCCCTACCTTGCATGGACAGTCAGACTGTAAAAGTTTCTGTTTAAAGTTCAAGCTCTGATATTTGGATAATATATTCCTGGTGTAATTTTGGCACCAAAAACAGACAAATTTCCCTGACTGCAGGATCAGACCTGAATTTAGGTAAAAACTTGTCTCATTCCTGCCATTATCTCCGCATGGGTCAGATTTGGCTGTTGCTTCAATTGACTTGTGTGCATTAGTAAACAGTGTACACTGTGTTACAGGTGTGCTGACTGGTCTTATATACATAATACCTTATATTTGTGGCAAATAATTTGTTGCCTTAACAATATTCAAAGGGTAAAAATCCTACAAGACAAACATATGTCATGTTAAAATCAATATTTAATGTTTGCTTAATAAAGACTTATCTCTGTTTTAAATGTTATCTTGATAGTTTACAGATAAAGTTTATCAGACTTGTCTTTATTTATAAGATAGTTTTACCAGACTAAGATAAATGTAGATTAAAAGGGAAAAAATATCAATAAATAAAAAATATATATTTTTCTTGCAGCTGAGATTATATATAAAAATTGAATGAAATGATTAAGGATAGACTTAATTCAATAGAATTGTCAAGGGCCAGAAGTCTGCATGGAGTTTTTTATATTGAACAATTGTTAATTCTGCTTCAGAATTAAATAAAACTAAAAATTATTCAAAACATTTAAGCACATCTGTCAGTCTATAAACTTAAAAGATTGTTTACCAGAAAATAAAATTAAAGAATCAGAATTGTTCTGCTCAGGTTAAGTGCACCCAGATGCATGAACTGACCATAATTAATGTGACAATAATATTACTGGTACTGTAAACAATTTGAAATTGTAAATATATGTGCAAATATTACTTATACATAAGGTAATAGAGATACTGACTGGAACTCATAAAAATAAGATTTTTTTCCCCCATCATATCCCAGGGAACAAAACTTTTAATACAACTTGGTAAATATATTGATAATAAGACTGCAGGGCCTTGATGTGAACATAACGATGTAACCATTTGTAAAAGTTTGTTTGTGATAAGATGAGGAAAAACCCATATTTGTTGATTTCAGGGTATAATTTATTTGTGCTTTTAGCATATGCTATTCTAACATTATTTTTTAGTTAATTATCGTCATTGTAAGTGTATTTAATTGTTAAATTTTGTTTAGTTTCATCATTTACAATCCCAAACTGTAAGTATTCTTGACACTTGAGTATAGTCACACATATTAAATTGATAATTCATTAATTTAGATATAGGTTTTGATACACAAGGTGTTTGGTGTATGTTTATGCAACGCTGTTTATAAAACACAGCTGTCATTTACAATTAAACATGTTAATGGCACTTTAAGGTATATTGATATATTTTATGATGGCTAGAAATCATTATTGCAGCAAAATCCTGTGACTGGGACATTAATCTTAAAATTTGATAGATTCAGAGAACCACATTTCTTGTACAGTATATACTTTGAATATAATTGTTAAATATTCCTCACAGGCACTTAGCAGAAAAGGTAAAATTCTGTTAAAGTATATTTACTTGTACTATTTAAGTGTAAAGAGAATGGACACATCATCCCAAGTCATGTCACCATCATAGCTGTTTTAGTAACATTATACTTTAAGTAAGTTGTAGGTCTGCAGAGCATGGGGTTTTCTTGTTAGATCTTACATGAAGTGTAATATTCCTGTGATAATTGAACTTGGATATTTGAGCCTGATGGTCATAATGATTATCACTGCTGATTGAGAAGTAGTAGTCAGTTACTGGTAATTAGTTGGTTATCCAAGAAAGCTGGATAGGTGAAGCAACCACTGATATATGACCTAAAACATGTTACAACCAGCATAAAACCAAAAGATATCCAACAAACTTTGTTATAGAGGAGGATTACAGGTTTAGGAGTCATATCATTGACATACACCAAACATCTGTGCTTCAACATTTATTAATTTACTTGTCTATACTTCATATCAGTCAATTGCTTTTATAGAACACATAGCTTTAACTCAATGATTGTAACTTAAACATTATTTTACAATGAATCTGCTTTTTCTATCTGCACCCACATACTACTTAGGAAGGCATATAGATATGCCCTTGCCTTTATATCTATAATCATGCAGAATATTAGTGCAGTACTCCTTTTAGTAATTGTTTTATAAATGGGGTTCAAACTGTACTAACTAGCTTATTTAAATTATTCACAATGTTAAAACTTTGTAGAACAACTAACTTGTTAAGCTTTTCTGTATCTAAATTCACATTAATATTCCTAATTTCTTTAAAGTAACATTTTTCAAGTAGAATTACTAACTTATGATGATGGACTAATAATGTCCTTTGAAAAGGCAAGTTATTTAATCTTCTTTACATCAAGTAAAGGCCCATAAATCAGGAATGGATTAAGCATTCTTTTGATTATTCTCAGTTTTAAACACTTACATAGCAAATGAATGCTTATTTTAAAGGAATCTTGAACTTAGGAAAATAAATAAGTTGATGCTTGCTTGACTAGATAGAGATATAATTTGATGACATTAATGCTTTTCTAGAAGACAGCAATGTAACTGGACTATTAAGCCATAGCATTAAGACATCATGTACTATCCAAAGTGTTGTAATAAATGCTCATTAATTGATTTGTGACATTACCAAATTTATAATTTTGTATATCTTTTTTTTCAGTCGGTTATGCTAAGATGTCCTTGAGTGATGACATTGCCTTGTAAGTATAAAATTATCTTTGCCATAACAGCTATAGTTAAGTTCTGAATTTTAGAGATTGTCAGTATATTTTATTACACCAGTGAATTGTTTTAGTGGCAGGATTATATTGTATACTATCACTTATATTTAATAGGACATAATTATGTTTATGCAGAATATTAAAAAATACAAAGGGAGACCACCAATATTTAATTATGCCTCCACTTTGAAAGGTGGAATATACTATGATGGGGTTGGTCTGTAGGCACTAAGGTCACCCCTTCCTTGTCTGATTTATAACTTTAGAAGGAATAAGCTGTGGTTTATGTCATTTGGTAGGAACATTTGATTTTGAGGTCAGTAGTTTAAAAGTCAAAGTCACTCAATGTGGCTTTGACCACTAAAAGCTTGTCTGACCAATAACTTGTGATAGCTTTCTATGATGATGACCTTTACCACTGATAGCTAGTTCCACCAAAAACAATAGAGAAAACTTTTGCCTTCAGTCCTATGATTTGGTGTTAAATATACACTATGCTGAAACACATTTTTAATTTTGTCTACATGAAGATTTTATCATACATCAACAGGAGGCATTCATGTTAACTACTTGAATAAAACTTCCCCATTTCTCAACATTGTTCTCCATAAACAAACAATGTTTATAAAGTTATTGATCTAATGCACTTTATATGTTACAGAAATAAGCGTCAGTCTATGTTATATGATCAGGCCATGGCTGGAAAACTTCAGAACACTGCTGATCTATATCATGAAATAGAAAATCTCAAACTTAAAGTCAAACAGCTGGAGAAAGGGTAGGTTACACAATAAAAGAATTTATATATAAAACTTTGAATATTGTTTTTTAGAGTTTGCAATAATTATCAGACTTCAAACAAAAGGTGAGTGTCGATAAAAGGCAAATATTCATCAAATATTCATGAAGTTTAACCTATTTCTATACCAAGGTTAAAGCAAAAATATAGCTGATTATCTGGTAAAGTTTAGACCCTCAGGTCTTAGAATTAATTTGTCTTCTAGGAGGATATATTTAATTATTTATCATTATTATTGCATTTGTAACATTCTAGTAGTTTTTAGAAAGCATTTTAATTTGAGTAGGCATCATAAAAGCATCAGGTCTCAGTCTCTTTGCTAGTAAGTAAGTTAAATGTCTTTAATTAACAGGGCTTACAAATTTGGTTTCCCGATCTTCCATGTGGACCTCAGCTGATGTACACAACATAATTACAGTATATAAACATGTTGCATTTACACAACATATATACACAAATGTCATATTGAAAGAGATCAATTAAATTGAAATAATGAGTAATCAAGCAAAAAATGATGATTATACAGCAATTAACAGAGAAAAAAATCCAATGTGTACAGGTAGACTAACTTACCTAACTGTTTACAACAATTTTATTATTAATTATAATAAATACTTATGAAGCTAGTGACATTTGTTTGTTATTTTCACTTTCTGTCATAGGTTTATGCAATTTAATCATAAACTAGCTTGTGCATAGATGACTTTTGCAATATTTGACAGTTTGTATTATTTGTTACACCCCAAACCTCATAAAATGGGCTAATAATGTGTATTGAAACAAGAATCCCAAGGTCAATAAAATCTAGGACTATATTGATATAAAAATATTTATTGTTAGTGCCCGGTGAAATGTGAAAACTGCATTTTGAAGTAAAATGATCTGAAATAGTGATAATGTATGTTACACCATCCATGAAGGCAGGCAATCTTTTTATTGTATTTAAATTTTTTTATATTTCATAAATTACAGGGCACGCCCTCCAGATATCCTTGAGATAATTTCACCATAAAACAAAAATTATGCATTTAACATTTATGAATGAAAGCTTTTCATTTAATCATATTTTAATATTTTATTTTTGGAAATATTTTGATATTTATATGAACATCCTATAATTGTACAAATTGATTTACCGATACGTTACAACAAAACCTTTAGTTTAAAAATAAAGTAGGAGGTCTACCCTGCTGAATTTATGATATGAACATTGCTCCTTTTATGAATTTGTTACTGGCTGTTGTAGGAATTTCAAAATATAAAATGCTTAAATTAAGAAGTCTAAAGTTTACTTTTGTCTGTAAGGCTGTCATATGTTTAAGCTGCACATACAATATACTGGTAGCCTAGACTATAAGGATCTTACACCTGCTGCAGGTACTGACCAGAATATCTAGCTTGAGGATAACTGTTTAACCCTTTCCCCCATGAGCATAAATTATTGTGAAAAATGGCCATTTTCACTGAAAAGCCTCCTCTTACAAGTTCAAACTGCTATGAAACTATGAAAAATGCTTCAATACTAATCAAACTTGGCACAAATGTTGACTGGACCATTGCCTTTGTAACGACATGCTCAGTCTTAAATTTCCTGTTACCATGGCAACGAGGGGACATCTCAAAATTGCCAAAAATCACTTTTTTGCCTCGATTTTTTCCATCAAATTTTATTTCAAAGTGCTGCAACTTCTCAAGGGATTGAGATAGAGTGAAAGGCTTTTCAGCGTTGGTTACACGTTACCTTATGATCAACCTGGGGACATTTTAAGCCTCTCACAAGTCCAAAATTTTCTTGGCGATGAGGGGGACTCCGCCCCCCTTCAAACCCCCCAAACAGAAGGGGGCACATCTCCCTTCTGGCAACCCCCTGATGTATTATTTGGATGGGGGACGGCGCCGAAAAAATGGTCACTTTTTTAACAACATTTCTCAAACGAAAAACAGTGTTTGGGGTCTAAATAGGACATTTTTTCACTGTTTGAGGCCTCAAAAAAGGGGGGGGGGGGCAAAAAGCCGTCAAAACACGCTTATATAAGGGAAAAGGTTAAGGTGGTAACAAGGCTCTGCTACCCAAGAGCAAGATTATTTCTAGCACTGGTATAATCCTGTCTGATATGCAAGAAAACACACTAAAGCTCCTAGTGCTTCAAGGGCTGTTAAAAATTGTTTTCTCATCTTTATAATTATTCTGTCACATCATATTCATATCAGTAATGCAATGTTACAAAAGCAGTGATTTTATATGATATTTACTACCACTAAAACATCTGTTAAGTTATTATGTGTGACCACATTACAGAACCTAGCAGCTATTTTATAGCTAACAATTTATTAAAGTAATGTTACCACATAGTTTAATCACATCCTACAAACACAATTTGAAAAATATTGCACAAGTGATGATCCTGACATACTTTAATTGCTTGTCAAAATTTGTATTTACTTTATAATTGTTATTTTTAGTTTATTTCAAGTGAACATAAATCAATTCTAAAATAATGTCATGGACTAGACATAACCTTATACCTTATAACCTCAATAAGTATGAACTTTTGACTATCAGAATGTCTTGAAGTTGATTTGAAATATGACTGCCCATTTATTGAACTAACTGTACATCTGTCTGTCAAACTACACTTTTATACTTTTTGAAAAAAAAAATAAATAAATAAAAAAACAAGCTGTATTATGGGATCATCCAAGTAAGGCAAGCATGTGGGTGGCATTCAGTCTGGAGCTTTTACTTGCATGGAGAGTTATAGTTTTACTGGATTCAAATGTTCACCACTATGAGAAATATGTTCATGTATGAACCGGGTCTCTGGTCATGCCCATAGGAAAATGCTTTTCTGGAGCATAACTTCTAAATTCATGAACAGATTATAAAAGAAACTTGGCAAAATATTCACTGTAGTGAGCTGCAGTGCCATGTGTAAATCTCAGATCATTGTGGCAAAGGTTAAGGTCACATGCAGAGGTCAAAGGTCAGATAAAAGAAATAAGAATGTGTGTGTGGAATTAAAGTTTTCATGAATTGAATTTTTAAAATTTAAATGTTCACCATCATGAGACTGAGCTACATGTATTTTGAGCATATTTTGTGTGATTGTGGTTTTCAATGATTGCTTTGATATCGTATTATTAGAAAGTAAAGAAATATATATACAGTCAAACCTGCGTTAAAGACCATCTCCATCTGAATAAAGATCACCCTGTAAATCAGGGCCACTTTCCGACAAACCTTCATTGATTGAAAATAGCAAGGTAACCTCTTAATTAAAACCATGTTCTGTATCTCCCATGGATGACCTATGTTCACAGGTTTGGCTGTATATACATATATAATATCTATTCATGTTGTTGTATCATCACTTTTTCAGACATAAAATCTACCCTAGAGTTCCGATGTTGAATTACAAGGATAGGAAAAGGATTTTGGTAAGTCTCTTCATTTAAAGCTGATGTCACAATGTGTTTTAATTGCATGACTTGATGTTGGAACATTGACTGATTAGAAAACAGATTATTATTTGTCCTGGACAAGTAGGTTATGCAATTTTGTTTGCCAGTTTTATTTCAATTATAAGTGGAATTTAAAAATATTTATAAGATATAGATTATTAAGCTTCTGTAAAATGTGAATTTCAGTGAATACAGATTTCATTGACTGTTAAAGTGATGTGTATATTCATGGTTTACTGATTTTGTGAAAGCAGTATAAAACTATTACTATAACCATAACACAAGTACATATTTATAGCTGGCTTGTACTAATATATATCTATTCATTGTTCAGATATTATATTACATTGAGCTGTAAGAAGTTACCAGGGAAATGTCTGTTCAAACTGGCTTGTCTAACTATTTACAGGTGGCAAAGGAATGTCATTCAAAGCTTCTAGCATTCATAGAGGTTAAACTTATCTAATGCTAAGAGTAAAAATTACCTTATGCAAAGAGTTGAATTTATCTCATGCAAAGAGTCAGACCTATCTGATGCTGAGAGTTAAACTTACCTTATGTCAAGAGTAAAACCTGCATTATGCCAAGATTTAAATATACATAATAGAAAGAGTTAAGCATAACATTATATTATATATTTAATCTAACCTGTGTAAATAGTTAGTCACCCTTTACAAAGAGTTTAACTCACTCTTTGCAGATAGTCAAGCTTATCTTATGCAGATAGTTTAATTTAACCAATGTAAAAAATAACTTACCTTATAAATGCAAAAAGTTACCCTTAACCTTATAATGCAAATTAGAGTTAAACTTTATTTATGCAAAGGGTTCGATATATGCAAAGGGTTGAATTTACACTATGCAAATTATCCAATAGGGTTTAATTCAACCTATGCAAAAAATGAAAAATTATGTTTTTTCACTTTACAGATTACAGGAGGTGCAGGTTTTGTTGGTTCCCACCTTGTGGATAAGTTGATGATGCAAGGTCATGAGGTATATGTTGTGGACAACTTCTTCACCGGCAGGAAAAAGAACGTTGAACATTGGCTTGGACATGAAAACTTTGAACTTATACATGCAGATATTGTAAATCCCCTATTTATTGAAGGTAATGTTTAAATCATTATCTATATGAAATCTGTCAAAATAAGGCATAAAAGTTTCACTCTGCTTCCAGGAATTTTCTATCCTTACTATAAGAAAAAGACAATAAGCTTTCTATTCTACACACTCCGGAGCAAGGGTATTTATTTACACGAGTTTCTTACCATAGTTTAACTAACCCATTTGTTCTACTGAACTCAAATGAGGTATTTCATATAAGTTTGAAATGTCTGTGTTTTCCTACTATCACTTTACTTGTATGCAGGAGTAAATTACTATTACTTGAAAATAAACATAATTATAGTATGATGTCACCTCACTATCACATTGAGTCAGACCTTTGAAGTATGCCATGGCTTTTGACATAGTTATACCCCTTTTATGTCCAAGAATTTTTCAAAGACTAGGCCTTACACCTTATCACGCACTGTGACTGGTCACACATTTTGTTCTAGCGCTTGTTTTAACACCTTGATATTTATACTGACCTTACATGTTTTATTTCATATGTCAAATAAACATAATTTGTAACCATTCTTATTTGAAAGAATTTCAAAAGCTTGATATCTTGTTTGTTTTGAAATCACATCAAGAGTGCAGATTAAATAAAGATTGAATTAAAATTAAAAAAGTTCTCATATTCATTTACTTTTAGTCTTATAAAAGATGAGTCAGTTGTAAAAATATGTTTGTAAAAAGAAAATTTGGAGTACTCATATTGTTACACTTCTAAGTACATTGTAAACAAATTGTCAGGTTGGTTTGTTATAAATATTGAAGTACTTATACATATTTGAACTGCAATGTTAACTTAATATTTACCAGCTAGGACAAAATCAACTTTGAATGACTATTTCCTGTTATATATCATTGGGGTTATGTCAGATGAGTTAAAAAATACATTCTAACACTATCCAAGATTTCTCTTTTATAAACAAAGAAGGCAGGAAGTGTGATATATTTCACAACAATGCACTCGCCATTTTGTTTGAAAAATCTGATAAATATAAAAAAACAACTTTTGTTCTTAAAACTATTGTAAATGATAGAACATGGTCCAACTAAGAAAATAAATCCAACACATATATCTTTAATGCAGTCATTAACGCTGTACTTTTACATGTACATTTTGTAAATTGTTGTTTGCTTGACATCACAATATAAACAGCATGTGCAAAAAAAAAAAAAGTTTAAATAAGAATGCTATTTTAATGTTGCAAGCCAGTTAAATTTCACATTTGTTTCACTATAAATACTCTGTATTTTGCTTGAAAAATATAAAGTGAAATAAAATAAACACAGAAAAATTTCATCAACATTTCAAAATTCATTTTTCAAAACATTTCTGCAAACGGTAGGCTTAACAACAGTTTTTTTTATCAACTGACTGGAACAGCCTTTAAAGAATGTTTCTATTGGAAACACTGAGGGGAAAACAAATTTAACCATCAAACATAAAGTCCATCTATATTTTTTTTCTTGACATGTGAGAATGGAAATAGATATTAATTCTTTGTGCATTATAGTAAAATAATGCAAGGATTTCAATTCAAATGCTTTATAATCCTACTTATATGAACTCAAACCATGCATTATTCTACCACAATGCACTCAGAATTGATATTTTTTTCCCTAATTTTTGGTGCATCCCCGTTTTTAAAGTTTTTAAGTTTAAAATATTTGTTTTTCAGCAATTTTATACAGGCTTTGTAAGCAAGTGTGGAAGGAAAACATTAAATTTTTTATTATTTTTTTAATTGACCAGATCTATCATCTGCATCCCTCACCCCCCCAACACATTATAACCCTGTGAAATAAAAAACCATAGGAACTATTAAAAAGTGGGTTTATTACTTTTAACTCCCCAAATAGAAAAACAAGTTCAACATTTTTTAAAAATATCATTTTAAAATTGCTTTTTAATGGGTAATCATGACATTTGTCTAGTTTTATATACACTGCTGCTGTTAATTTTTGAAGAAACTTAATGTTGTTGTTTTTTCTGGCACTTGCTGGCAACGATGGTCTTACATTATCTTACTCCATCAGTTATCACTTGAAAGTTTTCAGTATGATTTTACAGTGATGCTGTGACTAAAAACAAGCCAACCAGAAGAAAAATTGATAAATGAAAAATTACGTTTTTCACAATATATGCATAGTTTTATTGTGTCGCCTTGAAAAGGTGACATATAGGGGTTACTTTTGTCGGCGGCGGCGTCTGTGTCGGCGTCGTTGTCGGCGTCCCATAAAGCTTGTCTGGAGCATAACTCAGTCACTATAAGTCTGATTGACTTCAAACCTGGTATGCATGCTTCTTTCAATAACCCGAAGTGCAGTGCACAAGGACCGGTACTCTGCAGTTATTATTTTTTAAGTTATTGCCCTTTGTTAATTTTCATACTTTAATTTTGTCCGGGCCATTTCTCTTCAACTAAAAAAGCTATGGACTTGAAACTTCATAGGATGATAGATCTCATTAAGAAGAAATGCAGTGCACAAGAACCAGTATTCTGCACTTCCTAATTTTTGAGTTATTGCCCTTTGTTAATTTTCATACTTTATTTTGTCCAGGCCATTTCTCCTAATGTATAAAAGCCATGGACTTGAAACTTCATAGGATGATAGGTCTCATTAAGAAGAAGTGCAGTGCACAAGAACTGGTACTCTGCATTTCTTATTTTTAGCTCGACTATTCGATAAGAATAAGTAGAGCTATTGCAGTCACCAGAGCGTCGGCGTCGGCGTAACCACTTATGTTAAAGTTTTTGTAATAGTTCAAATATTTTCAAAGTCCATAGACATATGGCTTTGAAACTTTGCACACTTGTTCACCATCATGACCCCAACCTGTAGACAGGAGGAGGTAACTCTATCAAGCATTTTGACAGAATTATGCCCCTTTTTCGACTTAGAATTGACGTTAAAGTTTTTGTAATAGTTCAAATATTTTCAAAGTCCATTGACATATGGCTTTGAAACTTTGCACACTTGTTCAACATCATGACCCCAACCTGTAAACAGGAGGAGGTAACTCTATCAAGCATTTTGACAGAATTATGCCCCTTTTTCGACTTAGAATTTACGTTAAAGTTTTTGTAATAGTTCAAATATTTTCAAAGTCCATTGACATATGGCTTTGAAACTTTGCACACTTGTTCACCATCATGACCCCAACCTGTAAACAGGAGGAGGTAACTCTATCAAGCATTTTGACAGAATTATGCCCCTTTTTCGACTTAGAATTTACGTTAAAGGTTTTGTAATAGTTCAAATATTTTCTAAGTCCATTGACATATGGCTTTGAAACTTTGCACACTTGTTCACCATCATGACCCCAACCTGTAAACAGGAGGAGGTAACTCTATCAAGCATTTTTTTTACTATCAAGCACTAAGAATAGTCGAGCGTTGCTGTCCTACCGACAGCTCTTGTTTGAGTTATTGCCCTTTGTTTATTTTCATACTTTAATTTTGTCCTGGCCATTTCTCCTTAAGTATAAAAGCTATGGACTTGAAACTTCATAGGATGATAGATCTCATTATTAAGAAGTGCAGTGCACAAGAATCGGTACTCTGCATTTCTTAATTTTTTAGTTATGGCCCTTTGTTAATTTTCATACTTAATTTTTGTCCAGGCCATTTTTCCGAAAGTATAAAAGTTATGGACTTGAAACTTCATAGGATGATAGATCTCATTAAAAAGAAGTGCAGTGCATAAGAACTGATACTCTGCATTTCTTATTTTTGAGTTATTGCCCTTTGTTGATTTTCTTACTTTATTCTTGTCCTGGTCATTTCTCCTCAAGTATGAAAGCTATGGACTTGAAACATCATAGAATGATAGATCTTATTGATAAGAAGTGCAGTGTACAGAAACTGCTGCTCTGCACTTATTATTTTTTTAGCTATTGCCCTTTGTTATTTTTCATATTTCATTTTTGTCCTGGCCATTTCCCCTAAACTACATTGTTCACAAGGCGACACATCCGACTCGCGGAGTTCTAGTAAATATAATATATTTAAATGGATGATAGTGGTTGAGTTTAAACAATCTGTTAATTTATGTTATTCGCTTTAATTATAATCAAAGTGTAATTAAATAATTTATTATCGTTTTGTTTTTCTGTCATGACCTGTTATTAAAGAAAAATAAATGATGATCTGAGGTAAGTATTTTCCTAGAGTAAATGTAAATATGAGACATGATGATTATATAATCTGTATTATTATTGTAGGTTTAGCAAAGAGATGTAGGGCCAGGATTCTTATATCCTCCACATCAGAGGTGTATGGAGGTAATGTCTTAATTTTCTTGTTGGCTTTTACATGTAACAATAATTCTCTTAACCTGCTGTATTTCTATAATGAATTTTCCTTGCTTTGTATTAAAGCTGCATGCCTCCAAAAGAGTGAAAATATTTCAAGAAAATCGAACTTTAAAAAATGCCATAAGATTTTAAGAAAAGTTAAAAGTTTCAAGATTCAAGTAATAATTTACATGTTATCTATGAATAATGACTGATTTTGCAGTATTTTTCACATTTATTTCTACTGCGTGACTAATGAAGTATGGGCTATTTATACATATTTTGACCGCTTTAGGTTAATTACGTGGAATGTAAGTGCCTTTAATGTGTAAATTACTTATTTACTTCTATTGATTAGTTCTCTGGTGAGGCAAAAAGTTTTCCATGACAATTGATCTCGAACATGTCATTTGTCTGGCACTAATGATTCAGAAATAATGTAGGACTAGTAGTTGACCACTTGAGGAGAAGTTGATAATTACTGGTTAGTTATCCTGCAAGCCTGATAGGTGGACTAACAGTCTAAATGTGACCAAAAGTATGTTACATATAGGGGTAAAACCAAACAAATAATTTGACTGACAGTGTGGGTGGAATTTAGGATAACTGCTGAGGTTTTTCAATAGTTTACCTGAAATGATCTCAATGTGTTTATTGAAGATACTTGTATGATAAATCACCAATACATTTTGACAGATTATTTATTTTAGACCCGGAAGTTCATCCTCAGAATGAAGATTATTGGGGTCATGTGAACCCTATAGGGCCACGGTCATGTTATGATGAAGGTAAAAGAGCTGCCGAGAGTCTTATGTATGCTTACAAGAAACAGGTAAGATTTTATATTGATAAAATATCTGATTGTACTGTTAGACTTTACCCTGACCTGCTGCTAAATTTGTGTTGTGAGAATGACCTGCTGTAAATTTATAACTGTCCAATGTTACAGCATTTAGATATTAAAATAGAGAATTACTATACTTGTAATTAGAATTAAGTTGCAAAGAGAGGCTTGTAAGAATATATTGAAGTTCAGGCTAGGATGGTTTTATACTGATGTAAGAAAGTCGTGACACTATGACAGGTTTTGTCTAAAATATTGTATAAGACATTTGTGACTTTCATTTAAAAAATCACTGTTTGTGCTCATAGTATTTCTAGACGAGTTAAAGAAAAAATTAAAACAATGTTATGTTATTAACCCCAACAAAAGATAATGTAAATGTACAGTGATTTTCTTTTTGTTTTAAAAGACTTGATTAATGTTTTTCATTCTATATACATATAGGAGCAAGTAGAGATCAGAGTGGCTAGAATATTTAACACATTTGGTCCACGTATGCACATGAACGATGGTCGTGTGGTATCTAACTTTATACTGCAGGCTTTACAGGATCAACCTATCACTGTAAGTATATATACTTCTAGCAATACCCCAGATATATGATTGTTTACATGCTTTATATTACTTTATTGAGATCAAAATTAATGGTCTTTAGGAGGCTTCCATACATGGATGATAATGGTTACTTACTGATCAAATTCCTTCACTTCTAGTTACACTAGGGACTCTAGTTATACTAGGGGCTTTAAGTTTCTTCCTCTCAGGAAGCTTCCAATTTTAGCAAAGGAGGTGGTTCTTCTTTTCAGTGGCCGTCTTATATCTGAAATAATTCAACGGGAGCAACTGACATACTCATTATATCAATTCAACTGATTTATTTTAATATGCCATTATGACGTGTATATATGTTGTGTACATGCATATGTTAACTATATATATATATTGTAATTATGTTGTGTACATCAGCTGAGGCACACACGGAAGATTGGGAAATGGAATGTAAGCCTCGTTAAATTACTTACTTCCTCAGACCATATGTTACCCTTGTCAAAGTAAATTTAGAACCTATCTCTGTAACTGATATTCTTGTCAATTCTTTGTATTGTTTTCCCCCTATAGATATATGGTAAAGGAGAGCAGACACGATCATTTCAATATGTAAGTGATCTTGTAGACGGCCTTGAAGCATTGATGAACAGTGACTATGATCAGCCTGTCAATATTGGTAACCCTGATGAATACACAATTAACCAGTTTGCTACAGCCATTAAAGAAAGAGTAGGTGAGTTAACAGACCAGTGACATCAGGAAAAGTTATTGCCATTACTGAGATTTTTTGAAGTTATAGAAACTTAGTGCATGTAAAAGGGAAACTATAGTCATGACCAGCTTGGCAGGAGCATTAGTGTCAACATTGGTTAACCTTTCTGTTAAGGTTTTTGTTTAAGTTGTTTTTTATGGCCATACAATTTAATATTAACAATGCTATAACATTGAAAATGTAGATGAACCTTGATAAGTTTTACCTATAATTTCTATCTGTCACACCAAAATTTCAAAGGTCAGGGTCACTGGAACCTATGATAGGTTGTAGGTAAAGGAAACTATCAAAGCTACTTACCTCAGACTTGCTATAATTTTTTATTATCAAAGGTAGATGCCAAAAACAAATAATCCTAAAATTATATTTTTACAGTTGTACATGTATCAGATTTTTTTGCCCTAGTTAATGGTTTTGATAAGTTTAATTTCTCAAAAGCTATCAAAACTGTTCGCTTTAATCTTGGAATACTTGTTCTGTATTAAAATTGGCATACATTTTTAAAAGGCAGATACATTTTTGGCATAATTTTTATATTTTCCTAGCTTCTCAAAGAATAAAAATCCATAACATACTTGAAATGCTGTCAACAGTAGGTAATTCTCCAAAAAGTTTTGCAGATTTATACCCCTTTTCTACCTTGCTTTTATAATATTATCCAGCACTGGGAAAAATGGGGTGTGCTGCTCATTGGACAGCTCTTGTTAAGTCTACCTAATACATGTACTTTGATTTTATTAAATGTTAAATCTCAAAAAGCAATGTCAAAATATTAGTATTTGTTTGTAGGGAAAGTTTTGGGTTCTCTATTTGGCAAGAAATATACTTTGCTTAAAGCATACATTTCTTTACAAGAGTAACTTCATAAGGTAAAAAGGCCTGTTAAATACATCATTTTAATACAATAATAATAATGATGATGAATTTAATTAGAGCTGTACAGCAATTGTTTACCATACAATAAAAGATGTTATATATATTTTTATTTATGTTTTCTAGGTGGCAAAAGTGTTATTATTCATAAACAGTCAGTAACAGACGATCCCAGTAGACGTAAACCAGACATTCAAAGAGCTAAACAATATCTTAACTGGGAGCCTAAGGTAAGTTTAGTTATTGTACATTATTTATAACTAAAGAAGTGTTCAAATGACATTGATAGTGTAGTTTAGAAAATAGATGGGAAATTTGAGTGCCCTGCGGTATATGATAGCATGGCATGGAGTTCTGATGCCCTATGATATAATTACAAAGTGTCGTCCTTGATAAACAACAAACATCTGAACAGCATTCCTATTTCTGTTTTTGTGCCCCCACGTTAGTGGCGGGCATTTAGATTTACCCTTGTCCGTCCGTCTGTCCGTCCGCACTACTGAATAAGGATAGGGGGCCATCTAACTGTAAACAGAACAAAAGAGAACAATAGTGTTCATTCCGTAACAATAGAGTAAGGGGCCATTGGCCCTCTATTAAACAATAGAAAATATCAAAAGAAATGGCCCCTTATTCCATTTCGGCCGGACGTCCGTCCGTCCTTCCATCCGTCCGTTCACTTTTGTGTCGCACGTAACTCAAAAAGTATTTGACCTAGAGTCATGAAACTTTACAGGAATGTTGATCAGCATGTGTAGTTGTGCACCTGGGTATTTTCGTTTGGATATTTTTAGTATTTTCAGAGTTATTGCCCTTGACTTAGTTATATTTTGCAATTTTCAACTTGTGTCACATGTAACTCAAAAAGTATTTGACCTAGAGTCATGAAACTTTACAGGAATATTGATCAGCATGTGTAGTTGTGCACCTGGGTATTTTCGTCTGGATATTTTTAGTATTTTCAGAGTTATTGCCCTTGACTTAGTAAAATTTTGCAATTTTCAACTTGTGTCGCATGTAACTCAAAAAGTATTTGACCTAGAGTCATGTAACTTTACAGGAATATTGATCAGCATGTGCAGTTGTGCACCAGGTATTTTCGTCTGGATTTATTTAGTATTTTTAGAGTTATTGCCCTTCACTTAGAAAATTTTTGCAATTTTCAACTTGTGCCGCAAGTTTCTCAAAAAGGATTTGACATAGACATTAAACCTTATGGGCAGGTTGCTCAGCATATTTTAGATTTGCACCTGGGCTTTTGCTTGTGATTTATCCAGTATTTGTAGAGTTATTTCCCTTGACTTAGTAAAAAGATTGACAGAACAGTGGCGCGGTGGGGGCACCCGTGTCCTATGGACACATTTCTTGTTATACTACACAGTTTCATGAATGTTAATGGAAACATTGTTAGACTAAAGGCTATCCCAATCAGCTGGAATGTCAATTTTCACAATATTTTGAGAAATAAAAATTAAAAAATCAGTAACCCAATTGTTGCATATTGTAAAGAGAAAGTGAATAAAAATGGCAAGTGTATTGTTGTGAAATAGCTTGCATTTCTGGTCTTCTTTGCATATAAAGAAAAGTCTCTAAAAGTGGTGAAATGTAAGTTTACTATATTTTAACTATGTATAAAACTATATTTGCTTGAATAATGTTTCATTATGAATGATTTAGTATTGACTAGTTTAATAGTTTTGTTTTAAATTTAGAATAATTTTTATTTACAGATAAAAGTAATGGATGGTGTAAACAAGACAATAGAATATTTTAGACAAGAGCTTCGCCTGTCCAACATGATACCATAGTGCCATTCCAAACATGTTTAGGGTAACAAGAAGGTAGAAAATACTTCCTGTCAGAGTTATTTCTTCCATATTGAAGCACCAAAGCTGAAAAAGACGGAATATTTCACTCTTGTGAATGTGAATTTTCTACAAAATTTTGTTAAATCGAGGGAAAAAATACAAAATATTGTTTATATAAGTATGATTGACTCTGTATAATTTTGGGTCATAGGGTGTTTTAAATTTACTTATAAACTTTAGATTGACTGTATTTTTATCATGGGATTGGACTGACATGAAGATGGCCTATCTCAAAAATAAACTTTCATGCTCAGCTTAAATGGTTCTATTATTTGCTGATAAAAATGTCAACTAAATTAATTGCTTTGTTTTTGTGTCAATCAAATGACTTATCAATTTTGAATGCAAGGCAACTCTTGCCAGTGACATTTATGCAGGATAGAAAAAAAGGTCAGTTATGATGTTAGATAGAGATCATTAAATTTCTGTTTGTAAAGGACACTGCCTTTATTTGGTAAAAGGGAAATTACTCAGACTTGAATATTGTTAAAAAGGGACATGAGTAGTTTCCCTTGATAGAACTTCAATATATTACAATTCTTTGGTCTTCTTTGATTAGAATAACATGTTCAATTTGCAATTTGCATTTTTGGGTTACATTGTTGTTACTTTTTGTTTTTCTTTTTTTATAATAATTTCAGTGTTCACATTTGGTATATTATAAATTAGTGACTTTTATGGAATAGAGCTAGTCAAGTGTTTTGTTTTTCATTTTAATTATGTTACTGATTGTCTCTTTGAAATGATTTTAAAATTGTTTCAGGGTGTGTGTTATTTTTGTGCTTTTTTCCTTGATTTTTCTTCCCTTCTCATTTTCATTTTTTTAATGTAACTGTGTAGACCAAGGGCAAGAGAGAGAAATTTATTCTGTCTTTTTTTCTTTTACATGTCTATCAATATTGTTGTTAAGACAAAACATTATTTATCTTGAGGAATTAATGTGATACAAAACTGTTGAATAGCCATCATTTGGAGTATATTTAGTTAATTGATGTTGAAGTGTTTTGCATTAACTTGGATAGAAGTCAGTCAGGCAGATTAAGTGGTAGATAAAATTGTTTACTCAAACTTACATTATTAATGGTAAATATTTCTTTTTTTTTTTACACCATGTTTGTGCTGGTTTAATGATAAAAGACTGCTTTGTTTATCATCTTCATGATTTTTTTTAATTCAGTTTAATTTGTCAGTTCTTTTTTTCCTGAAAATTACTGACATTGTTTTACAAAATTTTTATCATTCCAAAATTGTTATATTAGTATTGATTATTCCTTTACATTGTTTCTTGTGCATAATGGCTTTGCTTTAAATTGAATTATATACATTCATGTAATAAAATATTAATTTAACTGCAAATAATTATTCAACCTTAGAGTTGCTGGGTTTCTAGGGTTTCAAGTGTCTTTCTTATGGAGACAAGAATAAATGTCTCTTGGTATTTTAACTATGAAAGGTGAATGATAAATTCATAGCTTAAGATCTGCTCATTACCATCAGCTGGCTAGCAGCAACAAATTCTATCCATACCACCAATGTAGACCATGATCAGTCTGTGTCTGTGTGTTAAGTGTCACCTGATAATTGTCTGCATTATTCAGTCTGTACATACAGGTATCTTAAAATTTTCCCTAAAAATGATGAATTTTTTTGTCCAGAGCGAAGCATGGGCAAATGCATTTAGGATATTTACATGGTTAGGGTTATTTCTTGTATTGTTTTGTGTGCCATATATCAATAATCAAAATTATTACTTTTTTGTTTAAGAAAAAGTAAGTATACTGAGTAGTTATGCTGCCAATGATTGTAAATATACTTAATTACCAAATAACCATTACTATAGCATTAATAGATAATCAGCAAAACCAACAAATATGTGGAAAAACTAGTGTAAAAATGTATATGAGTCAGCCTCTTTTCCTTGGAAGTCTATTAATATTCATATAAATTTATCTAAAAGTAAGATGAAAATTGAAACAAAAATCAATTAATCAGTTACCATATCACAGTACAAGTCATGATCATTTTATCAAGTGGAATGTTTTTCAATATATATTTGTGAGTAAAATAACAAAAACTTACATGTTTTACTTTTCATAGGAACTTCACATGTAAGCATGCCTCTTATTTAATGTACATGCTAACATTTGAGCCGCGTCACAACAAAACCAACATAGTGCGTTTGCAACCAGCATGGATCCAGACCAGCCTGCACATCCGCGCAGTCTGATCAGGATGCATGCTGTTTGCTATCGGTTTCTCTACTTGTTATAGGGTTTGAAAGCGAACAGCATGGATCCTGATCAGACTGCACGGATGCGCAGGCAGGTCTGGATCCATGCTGGTCGCAAACGCATTACGTTGGTTTTGTCATGGCGCGGCTCATTTAAATTTTGATTTGAGAAATCCTAATTTTTCGTCATTAAAGTGTGAAATTTTCACCGATTTGTGTAATTAAACAGACTTTATTACTGAATTGTTAGTAATGTTTGCTTTAATGATGTTCATATGTTTTACTAAATAATGTTCCCTGTATTGTCACAAGTTTTGCTAAGTTGTCATATGTATTGTTCAATTGTCTGATGTTTATAGCTGTTATTTTATTGTACTTTCAAGTGATGGCGTAATGTTGTGCGAGAGAGTGATTTTTTTCACCCATTCTTGTTTATCAGAAGTTAATCTAAGGTTGAGCATAATACCTGGTAGATGAACTAATTCATTACTTATTATAGCGATGAATGTTAGACTAATTTTACTTTTTTCTCACCATTTCAAACATTTGTATACTATAGATAAAAAAATGTGTTAATTATTTGTAGATCAGTCTTATTGAATTATTTAATTATTCAAATATTATCAAGATTGACTGTCTAATGATTATCTTAATTTCAGGTTTTTGGTTTTCCTTGGTTTAGTTCAAATAAGATCTATCAGTAGAAAAATGTGAATATCATGAATTTCACTGTTTATAAATGTTCCTCAAGAAATAATGGAAAGCTGCTGTATGCATACCTGTTAGATATACCAGTATACTTCAGATAGTGTGACAAGACTTGTTGTATACATGTTCTATCACTGATTCTGATTAATGTCTTCTCTTATTTGACTTTTAATTGTTTTATGTGTTTTTTGTTAGACACATAGAGACTGTCAGCTTATTACTCTGCTAGGGATTAGACGCTCGCTCTAATATGCATGTATCTGAACATAGTGTCATGTGGAAAGTTTAATTTGATTGTGTTCATAATGAAAGGTCTTTTAAGTGTTGTCATATTTTATAACCAGTAAATAGATGGTCATTCTTATTTGAAGTCAGAGGTTGCTACAAATTGATAAGAAAAACACATTGTGGAGCCATATTTAGAGAATATTTACATATGATATACACCATATTTACAATTGAACACGCTTGAATTTAAAACATACTTTAAATTATAAAAGAGTATGATTGTAAAATTTAATGATTTTTTTTGGAAACAGAATGATTTTCATGTGTTAACTTACTTAATATTGATGTAATATAATAATGCTTGTGAAGATATTTGTATATTTTTGTATTTGACTTTATATAAAATTGATATTGTATTTTTTTTTAGGTTTTTTTATTGTAAAATCAAAATTATAATTAAGAAATGTCTGTTTATCAAAACTATATAACATTCCTTATTTAATTGAGTAAAAACACCGCATACAGTATTTTTATCTACATATAAAATTTGACATTCTACTACATGTGTAAACTGCAAGGTTATATTACATTACTATTAATGTTAAATTTATAGGGATAGCATAGAGCAAGTAAGAATCAGAGGGACCTTAAAATACATTTTTTTCTATTTATCAAAAATTAAGATTTTTGAGCCATTAAACATGAAGTGCATTGTTTAGGATATTCTTTGTTGCATCACTTGTGTTTCTATGATCACACTTATTGTAATGTAAATGTTTTTCTATAACAAGAGAGAAAGGGAATTGACAGTATCTTTTTCATATCATACCTTTGATTTGCTTTAAACTAAGGCATAATGTAATGGGAGACATCTTTAAATCTCTTGAAATCCTTTCTTTGTCATTGTAAATATTGTGGTTTAATATGTAACCATTTTGTTTTACACATTTTTTGGTCTTATTTCATTACTTTCAGGTTTATATTGTCCTCATTTATATTATATCCTTGTAATTTTTGCACACTTTCCTGTTATTTTTTTGATGTTATGTAAGTCACTCTGTAGAATTAAAATTTGGTATAATGTTTTGCTGGTTGCAGTTAAATCAACCTACAGATGGTCAGTTGTTTAGTAAGGCAACTTTATTTTAACCAAAACATACCTCAAAAATCATGTTACATGTGCTTGCTTGTAGTCTATAGAAGTAAGCTGTAAGCTGAAAAAAAATCATTTTGAAGGTCGGTAGTTCAAGGTATAGGTGGCTTTGAGAATGAAATGTAATTTTTGATGTTGAATAATTATAGATGTATTTTTAGCTCACCTGTCACAAAGTGACAGGGTGAGCTTTTGTGATAGCTTTTCGTCCGGCATCCGTCCGTCCGTCCGTAAACTTTTACTTTAAATGACATCTCCTCATAAACCACTAAGCCAATTTCATCCAAACTTCACAGGAATGTTCCTTTGGTGGTCACCTTTAAAAATTGTTCAAAGAATTTAATTCCATGCAAAACTCTGGTTGCCATGGCAACCGAAAGAAAAAACTTTAAATATCTTCTTTTAAAAAACCATAAGAGCTAGAGCTTAGATATTTGGCATGAAACATCTTCTAGTGAGTGTCTACCAAGTTTGTTCAAATAAAAGCCCTGGGGTCAAAATTGGCCCCGCCCCGGGGGTCATTGATTTTCCCTATATGCATATAGTAAAAACTTAAAAAATCTTCTTTTAAAGAACCCAAAGAGCTAGAGCTAAGATATTTAGCATGAAACATGTTCTAATGGGTGTCTACCAAGTTTGTTCAAATAAAAGCCCTGGGGTCAAAATTGGCCCCGCCCCAGGGGGTCATTGATTTTCCCTATATGCATATAGTAAAAACTTAAAAATCTTCTTTTAAAGAACTCAAAGAGCTAGAGCTTAGATATTTGGCATGAAACATCTTCTAGTGTGTGTCTACCAAGTTTGTTCAAATAAAAGCCCTGGGGTCAAAATTGGCCCCGCCCCGGGGGATCATTGATTTTCCGTATATGCATATAGTAAAAACTTAAAAAATCTTCTTTTAAAGAACCCAAAGAGCTAGAGCTAAGATATTTAGCATGAAACATGTTCTAATGGGTGTCTACCAAGTTTGTTCAAATAAAAGCCCTGGGGTGAAAATTGGCCCCGCCCTGGGGGGTCATTGATTTTCCCTATATGCATATAGTAAAAACTGAAAAAATCTTCTTTTAAAGAACTCTAAGAGCTATGGCTAAGATATTGAGCATCAAACATGTTCTAATAGGTGTCTACCAAGTTTGTTCAAATACAAGCCCAGGGGTCAAAATTGGCCCCGCCCCGGGGGTCATTGATTTTCTTTATATGTGTTAAGCAAAAACTTTAAATCT